CAGAGCCTGTCGGAAGTCCGTAAGTAAAGAACGCTCGTGTGCCGGCACAGCGGCTGCGACTGCCCTGGGTCGCCGTATGGAACACAGCCACGAGCTTCTGTAAGCACGTGTGCCCCGGAAGCCGGGCCGGCGCTGTCTCTGACCTCTGACCCGTAATTGCAAGCAGCATGCTCTGATAGAGCTTTCTAGGCCCGTGGTCTGTCTGTGGGTGGGCAGCAACATGGGCGGATGAGTGTTGCTCCTGCCGGCCTGAAAGGCCGCCGCACGGGGCTTTGCAAGTCCTTTGTCGGCGGCGGGCACCTCATCGGGCGCCCTGTTGCACTGCGCGGCTCAGGCTGTCCCAGCGGTGGTGGCAGCCTGATGTCCAAGTAGGTGCATCTGGATCACCTGGCCCCGGGCGCGGCCAGGACGCGCTCCCTTCATCAGATGCTCCCTGAGCCCCGGCTGTGCGGCCTGTCCTGTCCATGTGCCGGGGACACAGGTGACAAGAAGGATGAGGTCCTCGCCCTTGCGGAGCTTATAGTTTAGTGGGGAGGAAAAGATGTAAGCAAAAATAATGACAACCTCCAACACCAATAGGTTCAGGAAAGAAGAACAGCGTGGGGCTGGGGAGTGGCCACGGAAACCCAGGCGAGCCGTTGAGGTGGCAGCCAGGGAAGGGCTTTCCGAGGAGGGGGCATCTGAGCTGATGCCTGGAAGGGGACATGGAGCCCCTTGGGGATGAGCCCTCGTAACAGAGGAAACAGCAAGTGCGAAGACGGGGAGGTGGTCGGATGGGGGTGTTTGAACCCAGCCCGAGACTGCCCGTGTGATGGGAGCGGGGCCAGGATGCGAGCGCAGCGGCGTCCGGGGCCCCCCAACATGGGGTCTGGCGGTCCCGGTGGGCCCCTGGGAGCTCGCACTGCACGGAGGCTGTGATGACCGAGGGCGGGCCGTTGCAACGGCGCCCGGTGAGGTGCCCGCCGCCGACGGAAGGACTTGCAAAGCCGTTGCTAGAGCGGAGAGAGGGCGGTGGGGAAAGCAACGGCTTGCTCACTTTTGGGGGGCGGGTGGCCTAAAAGCTGTGTTGTAAGAGGTCCCGTCAGGCTGTAACTGGACGTGGTCTGAAAGCGGTCAGATTAATGAATCAGAGCTCAGGGCAGTGTCAGTGCCGGAGGGAAAACTCGGGGCACTTTACAACCTTGGGGTTGGATGACGTTACTCCAGGGAGCGGGGTACTTAGAGCAGAGAGCGAGGGCCCGGATCCGCCTTTCAGCTGCGGGGCTTTGTTCGATGAAGTGCCCTGATCCTGGGGTGAGTGGGAGGCCGCGCACATGGGCCTGTGCTAACAGCCAGGCATCTTAGAACCCTGTCTCAACGTGCCTCAGAGCTCCCTCTGCACCCCGGCAGGCCCTTGGTGCTGCAGCTCTCCCTCGTCCCGTGTGCTGAGCCTTGTGGGCTCCCCTCTGCCGCACCCCAAGGGGCCCGAGCTCCGCCCTGCCGGCCCTTCAGCCCTGTCTGCTCGCTCAGCTCCAGCCACACAGGCCACCTTCCAGGTCCGCGGCCGCTCCAGCCTTCCTCCCGTCTCACCTCCCTCCTTCACGGACCTGGCTCCCCCCTGTCCTCGGCTCCCCCTGAGCACCCCTCTGAAGCAGCCTCTCCCAGGCCCTCGGGCACAGCCCCCTGCGTGATAGTTGCCTGTTTCTCTCCAACGTGGCAGAGCCCTGCTGCGTATCCTACCTCTGGGGCGGTGCGTGGCACGCGGAAGAAGGAAGAGGACGCATAGGCTCAGGCTTGTCGCCTCTCACCGTCTCTTCTTGTTTCTCAGGGGCTCAGTTTCTCTGTGTTTGCGTGGACCCCGCTCATCACCACGTGTATGTCAGGTAGAGAAATGTGCTATGGAGAAAAGCAGGGTGAGGGCCACAGAGGGACAGACGGGGAGCTCCTGAGAGGAGTCAGGGACAGAAGCCTGAAGGGAGGGGCAGTGAGACATGCAAGTATCTGGGGATGGAGTCTCCTGGGCAGAGGGCATAGCCGGTGCCAAGGTCCTGGGGCAGGTGCTTGTGGAGTCCATCTATAAGAGATGGACTGCTGGAGTGGGGGCAGGGAGGGATGTGTGCTTACAGGTGCAGGCACTAAGGCCAGGGAGGGCCAAATCGGGTGATGCATGGGGGCTCTTATCCAGGTGAGAGGCAAGAGCTGAGAAGGTGAGCCATGTATGTGATCTGACGTGCCTTTTTTTTTTAAAGATAGGAGCGCCTGGGTGGCTCAGTCGTTAAGTGTCTGCCTTTGGCTCAGGCCATGATCCCGGGGTCCTGGGATCGAGTCCCATGTCCGGCTTCCTGCTCAGCGGGAAGCCTGCTTCTCCCTCTGCTGCTTCCCCTGCTTGTGTTCCCTCTCTCGCTTTCTCTCTCTCTCTCAAATAAATAAAATCTTTAAAAAAATAAATAAATAAAAGGAATTGCGGGCTGCTGAGTGGAGAACGGCTGGAAGAGGGCCTCAGGGAGGCCTGTTAGGAGGCCCTGCGGTCGCCGAGGTGACAGGTCGGGGCCGTGGGTCAGAGGCCATGGTGGAGCCGCTGAGACTGGTGGGATCCTGGGCAGGTTTGGTGGGCGTCTCCAGCCGAGGTCTGACGCTGTGCAGGAGTCACCGAGGGGCTGGATTTCCCAAAAAGGTGGGGGCCTGAGATGGAAGAGGGTAGGTAAAGTTCCTTGGAGGAAGATTTCTCGGGGAATGTTGTTGAGTTGTAATCTTGTCCATCTTTGTTTCAGAGAAAAATGAAAACCAATAAACTTTATTTTGCTGTGTCTCCTATTCAGGTGATGATTGGAACTGCTCTTAACACAAGCGAGATGAAGAAACTCATTACCCACATGGGCGAGATGGACCATCCCTGGAACTGTCCCCACGGAAGGCCGACCATGAGACACGTTGCCAACCTGGATGTCATTTCTTAAAGCTGACAGTGCTTCTCATTTTATAGAACTACACATTTTATTGCAGATTTTTCTGTTTCCAAAAGCAGGGTTTTTAACTAGTCACTTCTTGTTTGCAAATGAACCTGCTGTTTTAAAAAAAATGACCAGATCCTTAGAAGTGATCTTGAGAACCTTTTCAAACCACATGGAGCATTGCTTGCGACGTTTTTTGTTCTGCACTTGAATGTGTGCACGTGTACAAGCAAGAGCACGTCCCAGAAATAGGAAGAACGCCTCGAAAGTCACTGAGGCCTCTGCTCAGCGGCCTGAGCTATTTTAGTCTGCAGCTTTTGGCCTGTAATATGATTAAATTAATAATGGTTTAATTTCATAAAATCATGGTCCTTTTGGATTAGCGGCTGTCAATCCTAACACACATTAAATTTAAAAAAAAAGTAACAAAACCCAACCGGAAGAAAATGGCCCAGGTGGGGCCTGGGGTCACTATTTTTAAATGAGCCCCGGTGCAGCCTGGGTGGCAAAGCGCTGTCGTAGGCAAGGGGAAATAAAAGGTTGATTTTTCTCTCACCTTTAATGTTGCGATTTCCTTTCCTTGGGGCATGGATTGCAGGGTATTCTTGTTACTGGCCCTCCGTGGTACTGGAGAGAGCAGAAACTGTTGTCAAATAGTTTTTCATGGAATCTCGTCCCGTTTGAACCCAGCCAGAGACGGAGGTCAGAGTGCCCTCTGTGGGCCCAGAAGGCTGTTGGTGTACGGTGACCAGTGTGGACCAGCCGCCCTGTGCTCACCCACCCTCCCAGCTTCCGTTTGCAAACGTAGAATTCTTCAGATGTCATGAGACAATCAAGTAATCACTGTCATGTGTCAAACACTGCAGCTGTGCCCTTCTGCAGGCTCTCATTTGATAATTGCAGGAACTCTGCAAATTGGGGTCTGGTAGGCACCACCTCCATCTCCACTGCCAGGACTGCTGTGGCCTAATCTGAGACCCTCAAATGTGTGACCTATAATGGCCAGAGGGGGCTCTGAAGATGTGGTTGAGGGAGGGGTCACAAAATGGGGCAAGTATCCTGGATTGGCTGGGTAGATTACCCCACCCAGTCTAGCCCCTGTCTTAAAAGTTGGAGAACCTCGCTCAGCTGATACCGAAGATGTAGGAAGGCCACCTCTAGAAGCTGGAAAAGGCAAGGAAATGGGTTCTCTGGAGCTGCCAGAAGGAACCAGCCCTGTTGGGCTCCTAACTTAGAATCCTAAGATGATAAATTTGCATTGCTTTAAGCCACTTAAGTTTGGGGTAATTTGTTTAGGACATTGGAAAGCCGCCTGAATTCTTGTGTTATGGTGAAGATTAAGGCGGCGAGGCCACGCGGCAATTAGCAGAGCTAGTTGCTGGGAGAACCCGGGTCCAGGTGCATCCAGCTCCAGGTTGGCCTTGAGGCCCAGAAGGGCTGAGCCCTGATGCTCAGCGGCTGAAGCCGGCGGTCCCTTTAAGGGCGGGGCGGGCGGGGCGGGGCCCGCGGTTGCCTGGAGACCGGCCCGAGTCCGGACGCTCGGCGCTCAGCGCAGCACCTCCGCCGAGGCCGGCTGAGCCCCCGGAGTCCGGAGCCAGGTGAGCGTCCTGCCGGGGGTCCTGCGTGCGCCGCCGCAGATGTGACGGCCAGGTCCGGCTCTTCCTCGGCCAGGCGGACGCGGCCCGCAGGACCTGAGCAGGTGCGGTGGGCAGGAGGCGCGGGGGAACCCCAGGCTCAGAGAAGGGGCGCTCCTTTTGTGCTGCCTAATGAATAAATCACGATGATCATACGACCTCACGCCCGGGGAGAACAGACCATCAAAGTTAGTGGGGAAAAACGCCGTGAGAAACGAGATTTGCCTTTGTTGTAGGTCAGATTTCACTGACGAGGACCAGAAAGCCTATCTATAGCAAAGACTCACCTGGGCTTCACTGGAGAGACCGTGATGGGGTGGGGGCTGGAAAGAGTAGTGGGGCTTTGAAGGAAGAGAAAAGCAGGATCCTGTTGGTGAGAGCAAAGCTCAGGGGTGGGTTGAGCTGGTAGGTGGGGTGTCCAAAGGATCCCATCCAAGCCGTGGGTTTGTGGGGTGCCCACTGCACCCCTGAGGATGTGAGGAGGGACTAGACCTTGCCCTGCACCCCAGGACTCGTCTGTGTGTCCTGCTTGTTGGACTGAGATGTTTTCAATGGGGCCAGTTTGGGAGGCCATGAAAACTCCTGGCTTTGGGGACCTGCCCCCCAGATCTGTGACCTTGGGCACACATCACACCGTTCCTTTTCTGGCATGGGGAGTAGGCGGCCAAAGATTTCAAGTTCAAAAACAGGAAAGTGACATGATAATCACCCCATCATGGATAGTGTGCTGTATCCCGTACTTTAGGGGGCTTCTGTGCATCGTTTCATGTAATTCTTAAAATGAGATGAGGCACTGTTATTTCTATTTGATATCTGAAGCAGAAGGAGATTCACCTGCTCAAGAACACACAGCTGGTAAGGCGCCCTGCAGGAGCCTGAATCCAGCTCTTGAGCACTCTGCAGTGCAGGTGTATTGACAGATGGGCTTTTAAAGTATGAATTGGCAGCACGGAAAACCTTAGGGATTAAGTAGCCATTTTTCGTGTATCAGGTTACCTTCTTGCTGGGACACTATTTGAAAAGAAATGGTAGGTGGTGGTTTCAGTTTTTAAAAAATTTTTAGGGACAACCCAGGAGATCTTCCCATAAACTGGTGATACTTGATAGTTGTAATTTTTCAAGCTTTAGGAGGAGAACGACCATGACATTGGGTTGCAAAGCTGAAATTTTAACTACAAGTGAAACCTGCAAGTATTTAGAGAGAGAATTTTTATTTTTCAGATGAGACTGATCAGCGCCTTGAAACAAACAGTAAACTTGAACACTTCTAAAGGCAATGGTGAAAGAAAAGAAAAGAGCAGACAAAAAAGGGGATAAGTCCACCCGCTCTTCCTCCTCTCTCTCTGATTATCCAGAGTTTGCCAAACAAGATGGCAGTGTGGCTAGGCAAGAGATGTCCCCCGGTGCCGTCCCACCATTGGAAATGCAGCCCAGCGAATTGGGGCCCCGAAGAGAGTCCAAACATGATAACCAGCAGAATGAAGATGCCACTCACTACGAAGAGCCCATTCTCACCAAACTCATAGTTGAAAGGTGATTTTTAATGGGCTGCATCTTCCATGTTCCCCTTTCTTTTATTTATTTATTTATTTATTTATTTATTTATTTATTTATTTATTATTTTTTATTCTTATGTTAATCCCCATACATTACATCATTAGTTTTAGATGAAGTGTTCCATGATTCATTGTTTGTGCATAACACCCAGTGCTCCATGCAGAATGTGCCCTCCTCAATACCCACCACCAGGCTAACCCATCCTCCCACCCCCCTCCCCTCTAGAACCCTGTTAGTTTTTCAGAGTCCATCGTCTCTCATGGTTCGTCCATGTTCCCCTTTCTATGCTCTTTTCTCTCTCTCTGCAATCTCTTTTTGTGGCTTTCCCTGCCCCTCTCCTAGATGACTGTAAAAATCTAGGTCTCTCTCTTGGAGTTTGAGGTTCAAATTTTTAACTCCCTACTGGACATTGTCCACTGGACTTCCAGCTCCCTGTGTCCCGAAACAAAGACTGCAGGACTTGAAATGAGATCTGGATTGGGGTCTTAGCTCTGTGACATCAACAACATCACTGAACTTTTCTGAGCCCCAGGTTCTTTTTTTTTTTTTTTAAGATTTTATTTGAGAGAGGGAGAGATTGAGAGAGAGAGAGCATGAGTGGGGGGAGGGGCTAAAAGGGAGAAGCAGGCTTCCCGCTGAGCAGGGAGCCCGATACGGAACTCGATCTCAGGACCCCGAGATCATGAACTGAGCCGAAGGCAGATGCTTCACTGACTGAGCCAGGCAGGTACCCTGAGCCTCAGGTTCTTTTTTTTTTTTTTAAGATTTTAAAAAAAATTTATTCATTTGAGACAGATAGAGAGCATGAGCGGGGGGAGGTGCCTAGGGAGAGGGAGAAACAGGCTCTCTGCTGAGCAGGGAGCCCGATGTGGGACTCGATCCCAGGACCCTGGGATCATGACCTGAGCTGAAGGCAGATGCTTAACCCTCTGAGCCACCCAGCACCCCTGAGCCTCAGGTTCTTAACTGGGGAAAACACACCCCATAGAAGGCTCCTCCACATGTTACTACTTCTCCAGCCATTGGCTTCTCCATTGATCTCTGTTGATTTCTGTAAGGGGGCTACCATTTCCTCCCTCTCCAGACTGTCCTCCTCCTCCCTATGATTTCGTATTTCTTTTTCCTCTAGGCTTCTCTCATTAGTCCTTTTCTTGAATGCTTACTTCGCCTCTTCGTTATCTCTTGACTGGACTGTTGGCCTCATTTCCTAAAGATTTGAGATTTGACTTCCTAATTGTTTCCATCACTCCCTGGATCAGTTATCTGTCCTTGTAACAGGTCACCCCAGAATGTGATAATTAAGACGAATATTATCGCACACAGTTCATGGGGGGTCAAGAATCGGGGAGCGGCTTAGCTGGATGGCATTGGGTTAGGACATCTGGAGTTGTAGCCAAGATGCGAATCTAGACTGCCGTCGTCCGAAGGCTTGGCCAGCTGCTCGGTCTGCTTTCAGAGCGGCTCCTTGGCATGGCTGTTGGCGGGAGACCTCAGTCCCTCATCCCACGGACTCCCTCCACAGGGCTGCTTGGCTGTCCTCACCACCTGGCAGCTGGCTTCCCCAGAGAGTAATCCAAGAGAGAGCAAGGGCAGAAGCCACGTGTCTTTTATGACCAGTCTCTGATGTCACACTCTGTCATTTCTGTAATATCCTGGTGGCCCCACAGGTCAGCCCTCTTCAGTGTGAGCGAGGCTTACACAAGGGTACGAGTACTCGGAGCTGAGAATCTCTGGGAGCCATTTTGAGGCTGGCTCCCACACTCTTAGAAACTTTTGATTTCCTTCCATCGTCTACAGTAAAAAGCCCCTCAGCCTGACGCTCTGACCCAGCCTGCCTCTCTCCTCAAACTCAGGAGCCCAGCTAGACTTCTGCCCACGATCCCATTTGTTTTTACCTTTGCTTGCAAAGCTCGCTTTGCTGGAGGGTTTGTCCCGCGTTTCTGAATGACCAAATCCCACCTACTCTTCTGGTCCAAACTTTTCCATTGCTGCTTGCCAATAGGAGGTAATTTTGCTCAAAACGTTGTTTATCATACTTCTCACTTTCTATTATGTGTCACTGTATACATAGGATCTTTTCCTCCCTATAACATACGTATCTAATGTGTATGAATTACTAGAATTTGTTTCCACGGCTCAACCTCTCAGGTGGAATATTTCGTCCCAACAGAGACACACCCAAGAATATCAAACACCAGACCTTAGGCCTCGTGGGTGCTCAGTCAGGACTTAACTGTCTGCATATCATTGGCCACTTTTATTTTTATTTCTTGGTTGACATGTAGTTACACAATGTTAGATTAGTTTCAGGTGTACAACATAGTGATTCCACCACCCTATACATTATGCTCTGCTCCCCACAAGCGTAGCTGTGATCTGTCACCACACAACGCCATTGCAACGCCGTTGACCCTCTTCCCTATGCTGAGCCTTTTATCCCCGGGACTTACTCATGCCATAACTGGAAACCTGTATCTTTCTCTCCCCTTCACCCATTTTGCCCATCCTCCCAGCCCCCTTTGCTCTGACAGCCATCAGTTCTCTGCATTCATGGGTCTGTTTTTGCTTTTTGTTTGTCTTTTATTTATTTTTTAAAAGATTTTATTTATTTATTTGACCGAGAGAGACAGAGCGAGAGTGGGAACACAAGCAGGGGGAGTGGGAGAGGGAGAAGCAGGCCTCCTGCCAAGCAGGGAGCCCGATGCGGGGCTTGATCCCAGGACCCTGAGATCATGACCTGAGCTGAAGGCAGACGTTTAACCGACTGAGCCACCCAGGTGCCCCTTTTTGTTTGTTTTTTAGATTCCATCTAGAAGTGAAATCAGGTATTTGTCTTTCTCTGACTTATGTCACTTATAATACTCTCTAGGTCCATCCATATTGTTGCAAAAGGCAAGATTTCATTCTCTTTTCTGGCTGAGTAATATTCCATTGTATGTATATACCACATCTTCTTTTTCTGTTCATCTGTGGATGGACGCTTGGGTTGCTTCCAAATCTTGGCTCTTGTAAATAATGCTGCAATAAACATGGGGTGCGTTTATCTTTTAGAATTGTGTTTTCATTTTCTTTGGGCAAATATCCACTGGTGGAATGACTGGATCATATGGTTTTCTATTTTTAATTTTTTGAGGAACCTCCGTACTGTTTTCCACAGTGGCTGCACCAATTTACATTCCCATCAACAGTGCACAAGGGCTCCCTTTTCTCCACATCCTCGCCAACACTTGTTGTTTCTTGTCTTTCTGGGTCTACCCATTCTGACAGGTGTAAGGTGATATCTCATTTTGGTTTTGATTTGCATTTCCCTGATGGCGAGTGATCTTGAGCGTCTTTTCATGTGTCTCTTGGCCATCTGTATGTCTTCTTTGGAAAAATGTATATTCAGGTCCTCTGCGCATTCTTTAATGGGATCATTTGTATCTTTGGTGTTGAGTTTTATAAGTTCTTTATATATCTTATACATTAACCCCTTATTGGGTATATCATTTGCAAATATCTTCTATTCAATAAATTGCCTTGTTTTGTCGATGGTTTCCTTTGTGAGGCAAAACCTTTTTATTTTTATTATGTACTATTTTATAGTCCCCATAACTTACTTTCACTTTTGTTTCCCTTGCCTGAGCAGTCATATCTAGAAAAATGTTGCTATGGCTGATATCAGAGAAATTACTGCCTGTGCTCTCTCCTAGGAGTTTTATGGGATCAGGTCTCACACTCAGATCTTTAATCCATTTCGGTCTATTTTTATGTATGGTGTAAGAAAGTGGTCCAGTTTCTTTCTTTTCCAGTTTTCCTAGTACCATTTGTTGAGAGACTGTCTTATCCCCATTGTATATTTTTGCCTCCTTTGCTGTAGGTTAATAGACAATTTAAGTGTGGGTTTACTGGGCTGTCTGTTCTATTCCATTGATCTATGTGTCTGTTTTTGTCCCACTACCATGCTGTTTTGATTACTATAGCTTTGTAGTATATCTTGAAATCTGGGATTGTGATACCTCCGGCTTTGTTCATCTTTCTCAAGATTGCTTTGGCTATTTTGCGTCTTTTGTGGTTCCATACAAATCTCAGTATTATTTGTTCTAGTTCTGTGAAAAATGCTGTTGGCATTTTGATAGGGATTGCATTGAGTCCGTGGATTGCTTTGGATAGTATGGACGTTTTAACAATATTAATTCTTAGAATCCATGAGCATGGAATATCTTTCCATTTGTTTGTATCGCCTTTAATTTCTTTCATCCGTGTTTTATAGTTTTGAGAGTACAGGTCTTTCACCACCTAGGTTGAGTTCTTTCCCAGGTATTTTATTGTTTTTGGTGCAATTATAAGTGGAATTGTTTTCTTAATTGTTCTATTACTAGTATATGGAAGCGCCACCAATTTCTGTTAGCAGCCATTTATAAATGAGCTATTATGTGCCAGCTCTGGGTTGAGCACTGTAGAAGGATATCAAAAAGTAGGAAATAGGGTCTATGTGCGTAGTGCATAGTTATGTTTTACATTGGGCTCTATCTAGAGAAACTCAGCAGAGTTTCTCAGCAATGTACACTGACTTAGTTCAGAGAAGGTAGATCCTGGCATTGCCCTGATGTGGGAACCAGACGAATTGAATATCCTGACATAGAGCTGGTCTGGATCCAGGCCAAGAGCCCCAGGAAACATGTATGTGTCTTGGGAGTGAGGGGAGGTGTTGATACCATTGAAAGGAGCTATTGTGACTTTTAAAAATCCTTGACAGTTTCTTTATTCATTGCTTTTCATTACCAAAGTGCTATATACTCATGACAAATGAAATGATGCCAAGTTATCTTAAAGAAGAGTTCATTCTTGGGGTTGCCATGGTGGCTCAGTCGGTTAAATGTCTGCCTTCAGCTCAGGTCATGATCCCAGGGTCCTGGGATGGAGCCCTGCATTGGGCTTCCTGCTCAGTGGGGAGTCTGCTTATCCCTCTCCTTCTCCCTCACCCCCTGCTGATGCTTTCTCTCTCTCTCAAGTAAATAAACAAAATCTTTAAAAAAAGAGGAGTTCATTCTTTCCCTCCACCATATTCCAATTTTGCCCTCCCTGCCCCTCCCATGGGTTGCCACAATCTCTCATGAATTAGAAGAAAGTCTTTGGGTTTTACAGGTAAATAATCACATAATCTTCAAGGTAGAATAATTTCCTAACTCTTCTCAATATTTATGCAGATTACTTAGGTTTCCTGACTCTCTGCATGACCTAGAACCTGTGAAATCATGTTGAATAATTGGTGGGAAGATCAGGCATCCTGTTTATGTTCCTGATTTTAAGGGAGCTGATTTTGGTATTTCACTTGCAAAAATCCTATATGCTATTGCTTTTTCATAAACAGTCTCTTATGTTTAGGTAGTTTCCTCGCATTATAACATGACTAGAATTTTTATTTTTATTTTTTATTTATTTTTTAAATATTTTATTTATTTATTTGACAGAGAGACAGCGAGAGCAGGAACACAAGCAGGGGGAGTGGGAGAGGGAGAAGCAGGCTTCCCACTGAGCAGGGAGCCCGATGCGGGGCTCGATCCCAGGACCCTGGGATCATGACCTGAGCCGAAGGCAGACACTCAACGACTGAGCCACCCAGGTGCCCCCATGACTAGAATTTTTAAAGAAATGACTGCTGAATTTTATCACACGCCTTTCTGGCATCTTGATATAAACCTATGGTCTTTCTCCTTTGATTTGCTGATGTCATGAGTTGTGATAGACTTTCTAACGTTGAATCTTCCTTGCATTCTTGGACAAAGCCCATTTTTGTCACGGCTATCACCTGTTCTTTTGTTTTTCACCTCACTTACCCCAGACCTTAGAGCTGAGTGAGTTCCCAAATCACACGTTATCCACCCAGTTCTGAACTCAAAATCTGCACGCTGTCCTTGATTCCCTCTTCCCCAAAGCCAGCACGTCAGCAAGACCTTTTGGTCCCATGTCTAGAATATATCTTGAAAAAAAAAAAAAAACTTTGTAAAATTATCATGGTAAAATACAGATAACATAGGGAGCGCCTGGGTGGCTCAGTGGGTGAAGTGTCCTGGGGGCTCAGTGGGTGAAGTGACTCTTGATCTCAGCTCAGTTCTTGATCTCAGGGTTATGAGTTCAAGCCCTGTGCTGGGCTCCATCCTGGGTGTGGAAAGTGCTTCTTAAAAAAAATACCCATAAAATTTCCTATTTTAACCATTTTAAGTGTACAATTCAGTGGCATTAAGTACGCTCATCTGTTGTGCAACCATCACCACTATTAGTTTCTAGAACCTTTTCATCATTCCAGACAGAAACTGTCGAGAATAAACCATCATCTTCCATCTCCACCCCCTTTCACTGTTTGCTCCTGGTTGTTAGCTCTCCCACAGTCTCTTCCCACAGCAGCCAACCAGAGTGCTCTTTTTATGACATAAATCTGACCTTGGCCAACTCCCCTCTTAGAACCCTCTCTAGATTCCTCCTAGAGCTCTGGATTTTCCTGCCACCCCCGAGCCTCTGTCTCCTCTCCTATCCTCCCTCTGTCCTGTGCCCCAGCTGGGCCTCCCTCCTCTCTGTTGTCTGAACTTGAGCTGTAGGGCTCTTTCCTGCCCCAGGGCCTTTGTACTTGCTGTTCCCTCTTCCCAGGATTCTTCATAGGGCTGTTTGTTTCATGACCTGTGGGTCTCAGTATAGCTCCCATGTCCTCCAAGAGGCTTCTGCTCTGACCACCATACACAGCAACCTCCTTATTCTCAGCCACATTCCCCGACCATGTCTTTCTCAAAACTTGAACATGATCTGGAATTACCTTGTTCATATGTTCCCTGTGTGTTGTCTGTGTCTCCTCAGTAACCTATGAGGTTCCGAGGGCAGGAACTTACTAGTCTTGTTCATGGCGCCAGCCCAGTGCTTAGAAAGGGGCACAGTGGCCCTCGGGGAACATTTGTTGAGTGAATGAATGTGACATAATGCTTGTACACCTTCACTGATGTTAATTATGATTTTAACCCACCGTCACTTAGGTTTGATCATGCCACTCATTGCCTTGAGCTTTATTTCCTTGTAGCTACGAAGGGGAAAAAGTCCGTGGACTATATGAGGGAGAAGGCTTTGCGATCTTTCAAGGAGGTTGCACCTACCACGTGAGTGACACATTTCGGGAACGGGCAGGGAGGAAGTTTTAGAATGTTCTGTGAGAGTTTTAGATTTGTATCTTCAGAAAAGTCCATTGATTCTTCAGAAGAAATTGGAAGTACTTAATGCTGATTTAACTTTGACCACCTACTCCAAGGTAAAAACACGACTCCATACAACTGAAGTCGTCATTTTTAAAAAGATTTTATTTTTTTTTAAGATTTTACTTATTTGTTAGACAGAGAGAGAGAGACCCAGGACCCTGGAATCATGACCTGAGCTGAAGGCAGATGCTTAACCAACTGAGCCACCCAGCTGTCCCAAGATTTTGTTTATTTGAAAGAGAGAGAGGGAGAACAAGCAGGGGAAGCAGCAGGCAGAGGGAGAGGGAGAAGCAGGCTTCCTGCTGAGCAAGGAGCCCGATGCGGGACTTGATCCCAGGACCCCGGGATCATGACCTGAGCCAAAGGCAGACGCTTAACCGACTGAGCCACTCAGGTGCCCCTGAAGTTGTCATTTTAGGTTGTTTTCTTTTCCTGATTTTTGTTTATTGTACAAACAACATTAAGGTGACTAAAGTAAATACGGAAGAGGAAAATCCCAGGATCATCATCCTTTCCCAGTAAGTATTTTGGGTAGGCCGTGTATCCCTTCTGTTCCTTGAATGGAAGAATCAGCATTGACGTGGGCCTATCAATTTTGCAGATAACATCTTGAATCCTTTTTCACTTATGATACTTTGCTGTATTGCTGCATGGTTTTCATAATTTAAATGTTCTGTGGTAAAACATACATAAAATTTACTATTGTAACCATTTTAAGTGTATAGTTTAGTAGCATTAAGTGCATTCCCCTCTTGGTAGAACCCTCCCCATCACCCATCTCTGGAACTGAAATGTTCCCAAACTGAAACTCTGTCCCCATTTAAACACTAACCCTCATTTCTTCCTCTATAAATATAAAATATATTTTATTTATATTATTTAATTGTATTATATATATTTATTTAATTATATAAATGTATATTCTATTTAATTATATAACCTATATAAATATATATTATATATATTGCATAGTGTTCTGATTTACTATTCATTACGGTACCATAATTATTAGGTACTTTTGAGGTGTTTTTGTTTTTTTGCCATCACTAATAATGATGCTGCGGATCGTTCAGATTACCAAAGAAACATGTGCTTATAATAAGAACAAATTGTTACGGTTGGGATCCCAGAGCATGGGTTTCTGTACCCTGATTTTCCCCCCCCGCTAAATAATATGACACCTTCTCATTCCTGTCTCACAAAAACTCCTAAAAAGGCCATTATTATGGCTGAATGATACTAAAATGACTGTCCCGGCTGGCCTTTGCCAGTTTTGGAATAAGCTGTTGGGTTCAGAATCCTGATCAGAATCCTCCTTCAGCACCGTGGCTCTAAATGAAGCCCTGAGGTATGAACACTTCAACATGCACCCAGTTCTTGATCACCAGGCGTCAACCCGTCTCAGGCTGCTGAGGACGCGGAGTCAGCTCCTACTACCCCAGAGGTGCTTGGCTAAGTCACCCGTAGCTCAAGCCTGGCCCGCTGGCTTCACCCTTCCCATGCCTGTGGGGCAAACACCCTCCATTTCTAGAGGATCTCGTCCCCACCCACTGCCCGCTACTTGGCCGTGCAAGCTTCCCACAGTTTCCTCAGACTCTTTTGATTAAAAATAATCATCAGTTGGATCTCCTGTAAATTGTGAGGGAGGCCCACCCAGCAGAAAGGCTCCGTAGCCCCAGGCCCCACGTCATGAGACCACAGGTTTGCCGCGTATTTAGCTCACAATCCCCTAAGGACAGACAACGAAACCAGACATTCGTGGCACCTTTGCCCTTACCATGTTAGAGGCAGCGTGATCCTTTCTAGGCTAGTTTGTTAAAATGCTGGTTCTTGTGCCCCTAATCAACTCCATCATCACAGAGCCAGCCAACAGTCGGAAAACCACTGGCTGCCCCACGTTTTCCTCAGTCCCAGCCTGTCCGTCCTGAGCCCGTGGGAACCCCGGGCTGAAATATAACGTGTCTCCTTGCTAGTGAGTTGGGGCCGCCATTCTCCAGAGAAGCGTGGTCCGGGGGACCAGCAGCATTATCTGGGGATTTTTTCAAAATGCACATTCTCGGGCCCCAGCCCAGACCGGCTGATGAATCAGAATCTCGGGGGTGGGCCCAGCCATCTGTGTGTTCACAATCCCCTTCAGAGGCGACTCTGAAGCATGGTAGAGTCTGAGAACCGCTGAGTTAGGGTGCTGTTTCCCCAGGGTGTGTCCTCCCCTACACCCAGCCCACCTCTAACCAGGTGATCCCAAGGAAGAACTGGACGTATTCTTACCTCCTTTTCTCAAATAGCATTTAGACATTCAGGTGTGCTAAGTTGTTAGTGACTAGTTCCTAACTAGTTCCTACTAGTTAACAGTAGACACTAAATATAAACGGACGATCCTGACAGCTGGGGGTCGTATACGTATATAAATATGTCCGTATACATGGACACACCCACACCGATAAATCCCAGTACCAGAAATCGCACAAGCATGAAATTTGCAAATGGAGTAGTTGCTAATATCCACATAATGGTTTTCACCAGGTCTACCTAGTTTTTCTTTTTTTTTTTAAGATTTTATTTATTTGAGAGAGAGAGAGTGAGTGAGAGAGAACACAAGCCGTGGAAGGGGCAGGGGGAGAGGGAGAAGCAGACTCCCTGCCGAGCAGGGAGCCCGATGTGGGACTTGACCCCAGGACCCTGGGGTCATGACCTGAGCCGAAGGCAGACGCTTAACGACTGAGCCACCCAGGCGCCCCAGGTCTACCTAGTTTAAATAATTTTTAAAAATCCTTACACCGTGATGTGCACAACCAAAAGCATGTGAATTCTTTTTAACTACGGCCTTTTTCACCGCTTAATTAGGGGAGGAAGACACAGACTGAATTTACAACTCATGTCTAACCGTTGCATAGGACTGCTTGGTGTATGTTTTGGGGAATTTGGACAAGCATATTCATGCAGATGAAAGGGGGGGATGAGGCTCCATCCTAAGAACTAAAACCACGGTGGCAGGCATTGTGTCGAATGAAGGACTGGTCCTGAGGTCTTGTTGTTGTTCTGTTCTGAAGGGTATGTTTTCAGAAGGACTCATGCATGGACAAGGGACTTACATTTGGGCCGATGGACTGAAATATGAGGTAAAGCACATAATATGTTATAGTGTTAAACTGTAATTAATGAAACTTAATGGTCAGCTTCCCACAATGAAACATACTGCTTTCATAAAAGTGATTCAGCACATGGGTTAAAAAAGTCCAGAGAGGGCGCCTGTGTGGCTCAGATGGTTAAGCGTCTGCCTTCGGCTCAGGTCGTGATCCCAGGGTCCTGGGATCGAGTCCTGCATCGGGCTCTCTGCTCCTTGGGAGCCTGCTTCTCCCTCTGCCTCTCTCTCTGTCTCTCATGAGTAAATAAATAAAATCTTAGAAAAAAAAAAAAGTCCAGAGAACCAGAGACTATAGGTGAAACGTGACTCATTACCGCATGGGCTCCTGGTGATTGTTACCCGCTTCATCTGTACGTTCTGGGGTCTCTCTGTGTGTTCTGTGCGTGTATTTGTATTTGGTTTCTCTCACTCTTTACAAACACAGATAGTTCATTATACATTCTGTTCTGTACCTTTATTTTTGTGGAGATCAAACCGTATCCAGCTCCAGGTATTTTTACTGGCTGCTTTTATTCCTCGGTCGTGGGTCTCCCTTAACCCATCTTGCTGGTTTAAAGGGAATGTGTATTTTTTTTTTTTAAAGATTTTATTTATTTATTTGAGACAGAGAGAATGAGAGACAGAGAGCATGAGAGGGAGGAGGGTCAGAGGGAGAAGCAGACTCCCCGCCGTGCAGGGAGCCCGATGCGGGACTCGATCCCGGGACTCCAGGATCATGACCTGAGCCGAAGGCAGTCGCCCAACCAACTGAGCCACCCAGGCGCCTGGGAATGTGTATTTTTAAATGGGTTGCTAGAAGGCTATTCCAGATGTTGAGATTGCAGCACTGCTTGTGATGTTTTTAAGTGGTAATGAAAATATTTAAAACCCATGCCCATAATGCACATATTCAAGTAGCGGCCAAGTAAGGGAAACAGAGGCCGGTTTGGGCCAGCTGGGCAGCTCACTGGGGCTGCCCAGTGGGAGACGATGAGCCGCAGGGGTGCAGGGGAGCCTGAGGATCTGGTGGTTTGGGGCCAGCCTTTCCAGGGAAACTCTTCTCCCCGCAACACCCTGCCTTCCAGCCTGTGGACCTTGGTTTATTTCTGGCAGCTCTCAGGCGGGAATCCTTCCTGCAGGCACGGACCTTTCCGCACCAGCCTAGACAGGAGGGTTTATGGGCAGGATCTGAGCTGTCACAGAAGTACCTTCAGGGAGGTCAGCTGGCCTCGTGGATTCCGGACAGTGGTCAGGCTAGGTCACCCTGACCCCTTCTCCCCGCGGCCTGCCTGCCTCCCCCGAGTTCACGTTCCCGAGAGAGAATCCGGTGGCTCAGGGCTGATGTCCTGGCCCTGAGCAGCGCGGGTTCTCTGGAAGGCACCCATGGGGCAAGCGGTTGGCTGATGTGTCTGCAGAATATTTTGATGAACCACGGGCGGAAAGAAGGGTTTCCATCAGTTGATCACCAAGCCGGGCTAATCAGTGGAGTCCCTTGGAGAGAACACTCCTTTAATTATATAAATGTATATTCTATTATATAACATATATAAATATATATATTGCATAGTGTTCTGATTTACTATTCATTACGGTACCATAATTATTAGGTACTTTTGAGGTGTTTTTGTTTTTTTGCCATCACTAGTAATGATGCTGCAGATCGTTCAGATTACCAAAGAAACATGTGCTTATAATAAGAACAAATTGTTACGGTTGGGATCCCAGAGCATGGGTTTCTGTACCCTGATTTTTTCCCCCCGCTAAACAATATGACACCTTCTCATTCCTGTCTCACAAAAACTCCTAAAAAGGCCATTACTATGGCTGAATGATACTAAAATGACTGTCCCGGCTGGCCTTTGCCAGTTTTGGAATAAGCTGTTGGGTTCAGAATCCTGATCAGAATCCTCCTTCAGCACCGTGGCTCTAAATGAGGCCCTGAGGTGTGAACACTTCAACATGGCACCCAGTTCTTTTTTTTTTAAGATTTTATTTATTTATTTGAGACAGAGAGAATGAGAGACAGAGAGCATGAGAGGGAGGAGGGTCAGAGGGAGAAGGAGACTCCCTGCCGAGCAGGGAGCCTGATGCGGGACTCGATCCTGGGACTCCAGGATCATGACCTGAGCCGAAGGCAGTCGCTTAACCAACTGAGCCACCCAGGCGCCCCGACACCCAGTTCTTGATCACCAGGCGTCAACCCCTCTCAGGCTGCTGAGGACGCGGAGTCAGCTCCTACTACCCCAGAGGTGCTTGGCTAAGTCACCCGTAGCTCAAGCCTGGCCCGCTGGCTTCAGCCTTCTGTGAAGGAAGTAAGCCTCCTTCGACGTGGGTTCCAAGACGCTCGCGTGCCCAAGGCCAGGATCGGAAACCAGCACTTTTCCATGTCCCCTGTTTGCCTCTTGGAACCTTGTCTACACACAGCTTCTGGCTGTTTTATTCTGCTGGGGCTTCCGCCCAGGGAAGGGGAGGTGAGGGAGGATGGGGTGTGTAGAAAAGGAAGGAGGAGAGTGGAAACTGGGGCGGAGGGGAGATACTCCACTGTTGCCACGGAGGAGAGACAGGAATAGCATCCAGTTGTCAAGGAGGCGTTTCAGACCGCCTACAGGACTAGGGGTCTCTCCCCTGCTTTCTCTCTCTCTCTCTCACTCTCTGGGCCGTTTTGCCCTAGGGGGAGTTTGTGAAGAACATCCCCATGAACCATGGCGTGTACACGTGGCCGGATGGCAGCACCTACGAAGGAGAAGTGATCCACGGCGTGAGGCAAGGGTTTGGTATGTTCAAATGCGGCACACACCCCGTGTCCTACATCGGCCACTGGTGTCACGGCAAGAGACACGGGAAGGTGGGTGAGGCAGCCCCGGGACTCCCGTCCACTGATAGGATGAACAAACACAGAGGGTGGGAGGTGGGGGGCTGTTGTGACAGTAGATTCACTTTCTGTTGATTGATAGGAAATTCACATCACACGAAACGGACCGTTTTAGAGTCAGCAGTCGGTGGCATTCAGGGAACTCCCAGGGTTGTGAGACTTCCACCTCTGTCTGGTCCCACAGCATTTTCATCAACACTCCAAAATAAAACCCTGTACCCACTCGGCAGATATTCCCCACCCCGGCCCCTCGGCGGGCCCCGATCTGCCTTCTGTCTCTACGGGTTTACCTAGGCTGGATGGTTCATAGGAATGGAACCCTACAGTATGTGACTGACCCTCTGTGTCTGGCTTCTCCCACTCAGCCTCAGGTTTTTGAGATTCATCCAGGTTGTAGGTACTTAATTCCTTTTTGTGGCTGAATAATAGTCCAGTGTATGGATGGACCACATTTGTGTATCTGCTCATTCATCGATGGACATTTGGGCTCTCTCCGTCTTTGGGCTTCTGTGAATAGCGCCGCTATGAACGTGTTTGTAGGGGTTTATTTGAGTACTTGTTTTCAGTTCTCTGGCATATAAACCTAGGAGTGGAGTATGGGAACTGGATGTTTAACATTTTGAGGGACCTCCAAACTGTTTTCCACCACAGTTGCACCAGCTTACTCTCTCGCCGGCGATGCCACTTTTAATGCCTTAATGCAACACTTCATTATCAGGGAGGAATTGATTTGTGACATCTCATTCTCACATGGGGGCTACCTTACCATCTTCTCAATTCCAAGACAGAAACATACGACGGATTAGGTGTCTTGCCCAAGTAGGACATTGACTTCTTCGCGGTTTAGACTCCCTAAATTCATATATTTTTAAATCTTTACCTTTAATAAACATTTGTTTTATGAGACTTGATTCTTTAAAAATGATATTATTTGTTTCAGGGCTCTATTTATTACAATCAAGAGGGTACCTCCTGGTACGAGGGGGACTGGGTGTACAACATCAAAAACGGCTGGGGGATCAGATGGTAGGTATCGCCTCTGCCACGTGTAGGATATGGGTGATAAGTGTGTGTGGGGGCCCAAATAATTTTCACGTAGGCAACTTAAGGTGCAGAGGGGCGCCTGGGTGGCGCAGTTGGTTGAGCGTCCAACTCTTGATCTCGGCTTGGGTCATGGTCTTGGGGTTGTAGGATCAGGCCCCACATTGGGCTCTGCACTGGGTATGGAGCCTGCTTAAGATTCTCCCTCTCCCTCTGCCCCACCTCCCCCCCACCGCATGCTCGCTCGCTCGCTCTCAAATAAATAACTCAAATCTTAAAAAAAAAAAAAAAAAGTAGAAATTCCGGGGAACACATTTTCTATATAAGTAGAGTGGAATAGTTAAATTCACCCCAGTGTAATCTCCATAGTGATGAACATATTCTATGGAAATTTAGAGAAATATTATATTAAGTGAGGTTTAATAATACAGTTTCACTTTATCACAGGTAGAAACTGTCTTTCTTTGTTCTCTATTAATCATAGATATCTATTACTGTATGTTTTTGGAAGACTCATTTTAAAATAATGACAGTATTTTTTTAAAGATTTTATTTATTTGACAGAGAGAGACACAGTGGGAGAGGGAACACAAGCAGGGGGAGTGGGAGGGGGAGAAGCAGGCTTCCTGCAGAGCAGGGAGCCCGATGTGGGACTCGATCCCAGGACCCTGGGATCATGACCTGAGCCAAAGACAGACGCTTAACCGACTGAGCCACCCAGGCGCCCCCGTTTGTTTATTTATTTTTTAATAATTTTTTTAAGGATTTTTATTTATTTATTGAGAGAGAGAATGATAGAGAGCATGAGAGGGAGGAGGGTCAGAGGGAGAAGCAGGCTCCCTGCTGAGCAAGGAGCCTGATGCGGGACTCGATCCCAGGACTCCAGGATCATGACCTGAGCCGAAGGCAGTTAGTCGCTCAACCAACTGAGCCACCCAAGCACCCCGTTTGCTTGATTTTTAGATTGAGCTGATAGAGTCAAATATTTTAAAGGTTGGAATATTTGGGGGTGAAATGTTAACCAATCATAGTATCATAAGAATTAGTTTTACAAGATTTAAAATACCTCTCTATTGTCACCTTATTAAATGATTGAGGATTTAATACAGTAGTTTATCCTACCCCTAAGATGATGATTTCTACTGACCACATGCCTATCCATTGAATTTAAGAAGACTGGGCACAAGGGTTGGATTTCTTCAAAGATGCTGAGAGAAGAAGTTTAAAAGAAAGTCTTCTTAAAGATAAGTATGGTGTATAAAATAACTGATTGTTTTCAAATTTTTTTTTGTCCCAGTTACAAATCTGGAAACATATATGAAGGTCAGTGGGAAAACAATATGCGCCATGGGGAAGGCAGGATGAGGTGGCTGACGGCGAATGAGGAGTACACGGGTCAGTGGGAAAAGGGCATCCAGGTATGGCGTCAACTCATGTGACCCAAACACACCCAGGTGGGACCCTGTGGATCCTCAGCACATGGGTCACTCCATATATCGTCCAGTAACCTAAACCTAAGCTCTGCTAACTTTAGAACCCCAGAGTATGATTTACTGGTCCCAACCATCTTTTTTTTTTTTTTTTTAAGATTTTATTTATTTATTTGACAGAGAGAGACACAATGAGAGAGGGAACACAAGCAGGGGGAGTGGGAGAGGGAGAAGCAGGCTTCCTGCAGAGCAGGGTGCCTGATGCGGGGCTCGATCCCAGGACCCTGGCATCATGACCTGAGCCGAAGGCAGATGCTTGACGACTGAGCCACCCAGGCGCCCCTCAACCATCTTTTTTTAAGTACCGTTTCATCATTGAGGTTTCTCTAAAGTCTTACACACAAGTGAGGTCCTGGCATGGGCAAATCCATAATTCCCACAGCTCTTGTGCAAAGCAAGACTGTTCTCTACCCCTCAGAAACTATGTATTTCCCGCACAGAAAAGAAAGGCTTTATATGGTTAAGTGTATGTGGTTTATATAGCTAAGATTTTCTAATAATATCTGCATAATCTAATAATATCACCTTATTCCCCGTCACCTATTTCCCTCGTCTCCCCCCACCCCTTCCCTCTGGTGACTCCTGTAGTTAAGAATCTGTTTCTTGCTTTGAGACTCTCTCATTTTTTCCCCCTTTGCATGTTTGTTTCTTAAATTCTACACAGGAGTGAAATCATGGTATTTGTCTTTGTCTGACTTATTTCTCTTAGCATTATGCTCTCTAGCTCCAACCACGTCATTGTAAATGGCAAGATTTCATTCTTTATGGCTGAATTACCACATCTTATTTATTCATTCATCAATTATGATAGACATTTGGGCTCTTTCCATAATTTGGTTATTGTAAATAATGCTGCTATAAACATGGGGTGCATGTATCCCTATGAATTAGTGTTCCTGTATTTTTTTTTTAAGATTTTTTATTTATTTATTTGAGACAGAGAGAATGAGAGAGAGAGAGCACATGAGAGAGGGGAGGGTCAGAGGGAGAAGCAGGCTCCCTGCCGAGCAGGGAGCCCGATGCGGGACTCGATCCAGGGACTCCAGGATCATGACCTGAGCCGAAGGCAGTCGCTTAACCAACTGAGCCACCCAGGCGCCCGTGTTTCTGTATTCTTTAGGTAAATACCTAGTAGTGTGATTGCTGGATAGTAGGGTAGTTCTAATTTTAACTTTTTGAGGAACCTCCATACTGTTTTCCAGAGTGGCTGCACCAGTTTGCATTCCTACCAACAGTGCAAGAGGGTTTCCTTTTCTCTGCATCCTCACCCAACCCCTGTTGTTTCTTGTGTTGCTGATCTTAGCCATTCTGACAGGTGTGAGGTGATAGCTCATTGTGGTTTTGATTTGCATTTCCCTGATGATGAGTGATGGTTGAGCATCTTTTCAACATGTCAATTAGCCATCTGTAGGTCTTCTTTGGAAAAATGTCTATTCATGTCTCCTGCCCATTTTTTGTCTGGATTATTTGTTTTTTGGGTGTTGAGTTTGGTAAGCTTTTCATGTATTTTGAATACTAACGCCTTATCAGATACGTGATTTGCAAATTTCTTCTCCCATTCCGTAGGTTGCTTTTTAGTTTGTTGATTGCTTCCTTCACTCTGCAGAAGCTTTTTATTTTGATGAAGTCCCGATAGTTTATTTTTGCTTTTGTTTCCTTTGCCTCAGGGGACCTATCTAGAGAAAAGTTGCTATAGCCAGTGTCAGAGAAATTACTACCTGTGCTCTCTTCTAGGATTTTTATGGTTTCAGATCTCACACTTAGGTCTTTAATCTATTTTGAATTTATTTTTGTGTCGGTATAAGAAAGTGGTCCAGTTTCATTCTTTTGCATGTTGCTGTCCCATTTTCCCAACACCATTTGTTGAAGAGACTTTTTCCCATTGGGTGTTCTTTCCTGCTCTGTCGAAGATTCATTGACTGTATAATTGTGGGTTTATTTCTGGATTTTCTATTCTGTTCCATTCATCGTGTTTATTTTTGTGTTGGTACCATACTGTTTTGATCACTACAGCTTTGTATTATAACTTGAAGTCCAGAATTGTGATGCCTCCAACTTTGCTTTGCCTTTTCAAGATTGCTTTGGCTATTTGGGGTCTTTTGTGGTTCCATACAAATTTTAGGATCTGTTTGTTCTAGCTCTATGAAAAATGCTGTTGGTATTTTGATAGGGATTGCATTAAATGTGTAGATTGCTTTGGACAGTATAGACATTTTAACAGTGTTCTTCCAATCCATGAGCATGGAATGTCTTTCCATTTCTTTGTATCATCTTCAGTTTCTTTCAGAAGTGTTCTATAGTTTTCAGAACACAGGTCTTTCTCCTCTTTGGTTGGGTTTATTATTTTTGGTGCAACTGTAAATGGGTTTGTTTTCTGAATTTCTCTTTCTGCTGCTTCATTATTGGTGTATAGAAATGCAGCATATTCCTGTAGGTTGATTTTGTGTCCTGCAACTTTACTGAATTCATGTTATCAGTTCTGGCAGTTTTTTGGTGGAGTCTTTGGGGTTTTCTGTATATAGTATTACATCATCTGCAAATAGTGAATGTTTTACTTCTTCCTTACTGGTTTGGATGCCTTTTATTTCTTTTTGTTGTCTGATTGCTGTGGCTAGCATTTCCAGTACTGTGTTGAATAACAGTATTGAGAGTGGACATCCCTGTCTTGTTCCTGACCATAGAGGAAAAGCTCTCGGTTTTTCCCCATTAAGGATGACATTAGCTGTGGGTTTTTCATATTTGGCTTTTGTTATGTTATGTTCTTTCTAACCCTACTTTGTCAAGGTGTTTATCATGAATGGATGTTGTACTTTGTCAAATGCTTTTCCTGCATCTGTTGAAATGATCATGTGGTTCTTATCCTTTCTCCTATTGATGTGATGTATCACATTGATTGATTTGCAAATACCGATCCACCCTTACAACCCAGAAATAAATCCCACTTGATTGTGGTGAATGAGGTTTTTTATGTTTGTTTGTTTTTGTGTTGTTGTTTTTTTAAGAGAGAAGGTGTGGTGTGTGAGTGGGGCACGGGGATTTGGCAGAGGGAGAGAGAGAGAATCCTAAGCAGGCTCCACACTCAGTGCAGAGCCCAAAATGGGGCTTGATCTCATGACCCTGAGATCATGATCTGAGCCAAAATCAAGAGTCAGACGCTTTCCCAGCTGAGCCACCCAGGCACCCCGATCTGTTTGTTCTTGAATAAGTTTTAAGTTTGTATTTTTGAAGGAAGTTGTCCCATTTCATAGAAATTTATTGGCACAAGGTTGTTCATAATAGTCTCTCATGGGGATGCCTGGGTAGCTCAGTAGGTTGGATATCTGCCTTCAGCGGGGGTCATGATCCCAGCTTGGGATCAAGTCCCAAGTGGGGCTCCTTTCTCAGTGGGGAGCCTGCTTCTCCCTCTGCCTGCCACTCCCCCTGCTTGTGCTCTCTCTCTGACAAATAAATAAAATCTTAAAAAAAATAACTTCTTTAAAAGTCTCTCATGATTCTTTAAATATATATTATATAGGATCTATAGTGATGTTCCCTCTTTCTCCCAGAACCAGTGATTTGTGTTTTCTCTTCTGTCTTCAGTCTTATTGCAGATATATCCAAGTCATGAAAATTCTCTAAGAGCCAGTCTTAGTGTTATTTATTTTCTCTTGGGGTTTTTCAGTTTTTAATTTGATGCCTGCTCTTTGTTATTACCTTCCTTCTGCATGCTTTGGGTTTGATATGCTCTTCTTTTCCTTGAATTGTAGGATGGAAGCTTGATTGATTTGAGACATTTCTTCTTTTCTAATATAAGAATTTAATACTAAAATTTTTCCTCTTAGCAGTGCTTTCTCTGCATCCCACTAATTCTGATATATTTTAATTTTTGTTCAGGTGGGGGCAGAGGGAGAAGCAGACTCCCTGCTGAGCAGGGAGCCCGATGTGGGGCTCAATCCTGGGACTCTGGGATCACGACCCTAGCTGAAAGCAGATGCTTAACCGACTGAGCCACCCAGGTGTCCCTCAAAATATTTTCTAATGTCCCTATGACTTCCTCTTTAACCTGTAAATTATTTTGACATATGTTGTTTACTTTCCAAATAGTTGGAGATTTTTCCAGATATCTTTCTGTTGTTGATTTTTCTGTTGAAATTTTTAATTCTACTGTGGTTAGAGAACATACTTTGTATGACTACATTTCTTTTACATAGGTTGTGGTTTATTTTGTGGCCCAGAATATGGTCTGTCTTGGTGAATGTTATGTGTATTTCTGCTTTTGTTGAATGGAGTGTTCTGTGGATGACAACTGGATCAAATTGGTTGATAGTGTTGTTCAGGTCTTCTATACCACATTACTCATTTTCTGTTTATTTTTTCTACCCATTTCTGAGATAAGAGTGGTGAGGTGTCCAAGTATAATTATAGATTCATCTATTTCTTCTTTCAAATCTATCAATTTTTGCTTCATATATTTTTAAGTTCTGTTGTTAGGCACATACTTGTTTAGGATTGTTATGTCTTCTTGGTGGATTGACCCTTTGTTATCATCTTGTCATGTCCCTCTTTAGCTCTGATAGTTTCTTTTCCTCTGAAGTCTTTTTCTGATGTGAATATAGCCACTCCAGCTTTCTTTTTTCTTTTTCTTTTTAGTTCTGGTAAAATACACATAACAAAAAATTTACCATCTTAATCATATTTAAGTGTCCAATTCAGGGCATTAAGTACTTTCACACTGTTGTGCAGCCGTCCCCACCATCCTTCTCCAGAACTCTTTTCATCTTCCCAAACGGAGACTCTGTCCCCATCAAACACTCACTTCCCATCTCTCTTCCTCCTTTCCCCACCCCTAGCACCCACCATCTACTTTCTGTCCCTATGAATCTGACTCCTCTCGGTATCTCATATAAGTGGAATTATATAGTATTTGTCCTTTTGCAACTGGTTTATTTCACTCAGCATAATGTATTCAAGGTTCATCCATCTTATAGTATGTGTTAGGATTTCCTTCCTTTTTAAGGCTGAATAATAATCCATTGTATGTTTATACCATCCTTATGCTTATTCATTCATCCATCAATGGACACCTGGGTTGCTTCTACCTTTTGGTTATTGCAAGTAATGCTGCTATGAACATGAGTGCACAAATATTTGTTTGAGTCCCCATTTTCAATTCTTTTTAGCATATACCCAGAAGTTCTAGATATACAGAGTCTAGATATACAGAGTCATCCCATTGTTGAAAAAATTGTGTGTTTATATGTGTTATATATACATATAATATGTTGATTTAGTGTGTATAATTGAATGTGCCTGGGGAAAATACAGATGAATTCTCAGACTCTCAAGTAGTGGTTGCCTCTGCAAAAGTAGGATTGAAGAAGGCATTTTTCTTTTTTATCAATCCGGATGTTAAAAATAAATAAAATTTGGGGCGCCTGGGTGGCTCAGTCCTTGAGCGTCTGCCTTCGGCTCAGGTCATGATCCCAGGGTCCTGGGATCGAGCCCTGCATCGGGCTCCCTGCTCCGCGGGAAGCCTGCTTCTCCCTCTCCCACTCCCGCTGCTTGTGTTCCCTCTCTCGCTGTCCTCTCGCTGTCAAATAAATAAAAAATCTTAAAAAATAAATAAATAAATAAAATAAATAAATAAAATTTAAGGTAATAATTTATCAGTATCAAGCTAGGCACTTTTTATACACTGTCTTCAGTCTTTACATCCAACCTGCAGGATAGTTGTTATTTTCATTTTATAGATGAAACCCAGAGGGCTTAAATAATTTGCCTTAGGTCAAATGGCTGGTTAATAAGTAGATGGCACAGAGGCTGAACCCAAGTCTGTGTGACTCTAAAATCCATGTTCTTTGTCCTTTCAAATGTGTCATTGTATTTATCTATTGACTGAGTTTTATTTATTTATTTATTTATTTATTTTTTAAGATTTATTTATTCATTTGAGAGAGCGAGAATGAGAGACAGAGAGCATGAGAGGGGGGAGGGTCAGAGGGAGAAGCAGACTCCCCGCCGAGCAGGGAGCCCGATGCGGGACTCGATCCCGGGACTCCAGGATCATGACCTGAGCCGAAGGCAGTCGCTTAACCGACTGAGCCACCCAGGCGCCCTTGACTGAGTTTTATTTTAATTTAAAAGATTTTTATTTATTTGAGAGAGAGAGAGAGGGAGAAAGCACAAGAGGGGGGAGGGAGAGGGACAAGCAGACTCCATGCTGAGCGCAGAGCCTGATGCAGGGCTCCATCTCAGGACCCTGAGATCATGACCTGAGCCAAAATCAAGAGTCAGAGGCTTAACCGACTGAGCCACCCAGCCGCCCCTGTTGACCAAATTTTAAATGGAGTCAGGTAAAAAGAGGAAATATTTTGAGCATTTCTCCTGGAAATTTGCTTTCTTTTCAGAATGGTTTTGGAACACACTCCTGGTTTCTGAAGAGAATCCCCAACTCCCAATACCCTTTGAGAAATGAATACATAGGAGAGTTTGTAAATGGATATCGTCATGGCCATGGAAAATTTTACTATGCCAGTGGGGCCGTTTATGAGGGAGAATGGGTCTCCAATAAAAAACATGGTATGGTGAGTGCAGATGTGTGAAGAGCACATTTTATAGATTTTGTAAAGCAACTGAAATACCGTAAAAGGCATCTCATTCTCTGTCTGGTAAAGTGCATAATCCATTTTTGCACACGATAACTTATTGTTTTGTTAAGATGATTACATGAATTTTAAAATAATTTCCAACATATCATCAGTATCCTGTATATTTAGAAGTTATTTACTTAGTTTATGTTATGTACATACGTGTGTGTGTGTGTGTTAGGGTGGTTTTGGTCACAAGTAATGGAAAATCTAGCTTAATCATCCACAACTGATAAGGAATAAGTGGGTTTCAGGGTTGGTTTGATTCAGCAACTCAGTGATGTCAGGATTTTCTTCCATCTACCCATGATGTCTCCTACCATGATGTCAGCTTCACCCTTATGCTGCCCCTCCCTCATGACCACAAGATGGATGCTGTGGTTCCAGGCTTCACATCCACATACCACACTAAGTAGAGGGAGAGAAGAAACTCTTTTCTGAGGAGCTTTACACAAATATCTTTAATTTGGCTGGCTGACTTGGGTCATTTACTTACCTCTCCATCAGACTGATTATTGGCTTGGGTTGGACCAATACCAAGAGAGCCCCTATTTGGTGATGGGCACTCTGCTGGTCACTAGTGTAGTTTAATAAGACATCTTCTGTGACCTAGGAGTAGCTAGGGAGAGGTCGTGGAGCTGATAGAGAGAGGAGGAGGAAGAATAGAGAGGATTTACACAGTGACTCGAGACTCTAGGAGCGAGACTCTATGTGAGCTAAGTGCATGTCTTAAACAAACACCTCCAAACCCTTGAAAATGGTACAGATGGAGATTACCAGTGGTTTTCCTGAACTGTAAATCTTTCTGTCTGCAGGGCCGATTAACTTTCAAAAATGGGCGTGTGTATGATGGCTCCTTTTCCAATGACCACATAGTGGAGTTTCCAAATCTTGAAGTTGAGTTCTTAAGTCACCTGGACCTGTCTTCAGAGTCTTCCTTCAAGAGCCGGTACCCTGCATCCTCCATCAGTGCTGGTAAGGGGGTGTGCACCTGTCAGTTGCATGCAAATTAGCTTCTATTATCAATGGAATCTATTCATCAAAATACAAAGACTACTTCAGAAAACAGAAGTTTCCTGGGGGAAACTGCTTTCTTAGTAGTTTTTTTGAATACTCTTATATCCCACTTGGGTGGAAAATCATTTCCGCATAACACTGAAAAAAATTTTTTTAACTTCCAAAAGCATTTTATTTTCTTTTCCCCAAATCATTTTAATTTGCTAGTTGAAATGGTAACATTGAAAACTTTTAACATTGCTTTTCACAATGATCCTCTCTATTTGCCTTTATTTGCTAGAGATTATCAGAAAGCTTGATGGCAGTGAAAGTAATTCTGTGTTAGGGTCGAGCCTTGAGCTAAATCTCAGTTTGTTGCTGAATATGTATCCTGAGAAAGATCAAGCAGAGGAAAAGAAGCAGGTAAAAACCTTTCATATTGTTATACATTTATATTTTAGGCTTAAATATTAACAGAGTCTCCACAGTCTTGGGAAAATACAGCCGAGGGGGGCTGTCCTGTGTTGAGTGTCTTTTATAAGCCACATAGATGGTTTGTGTACCATCCCATTTAATTTGTAAGGCAACCCTAGTGAACAGGCTTTGTGAGAAAACAGAAGCCCGGATAGAGGGACTCAGTGAATTAACTAAATTCAAGTTACCCTCACTCCCAGCTTGGTCTGAAGCCCAAGGCTGCGGCCACCCCAACTGCAGGACATTAATTCTGCAGTGCATTATTATGGGCTGCTGGGATTCCAAAGAACTTCAAACTCCTAGAAATCAGTACAAATCTAGACATCCTTAGAGACAGAGAAAATTATGTGTACCCGGACTTCATTCGATTAACAGCTGGAAAATCACATCCACCAAATTACATGTTAGTGTCGTGAACCCTGCTTTGACTGGGGCTCGGGATGATTCTCCCATGAAAGCATTGTTGAAGATGTGGCTTGCAACAGGAGAACCACTGGTACCTCGAAGTTGCAAGTCATGTGTCCCTTTGCTCTTCCTCTATTCCGTCTCCTCTGGCCCCAGTTCTGTGGGTCTCAAAAGTGATGACTCTCCATCCCCCATCCTCCTCTATTCTCCTGGCCAACGATGTTATTCAGGCTCCTGGGATCGCTCACTTCATCTGCTGCCAGATTCTTGTTAAAAAAAAAAAAAAAAAAAGAACTTCTATGACTTTCTCTAGTTAGGAAAATAGTACACAATACTTGTAGAAAATTTAGAAAATGCACATAAGAAGAAGTAGAAGAGAATCTCCACCCAGACAAAATCTGGTGACCATCTTTCCAGTTTTGTTCTGGGCAAACATAATTAGAATTGGAGCGTTCTGCTCATATAATCTCTGTTTTTGTATATTTAATCATAGGTCTTCATTGCCATTAAATATTCTCCTACAATATAATTTTTAGGTGAATAAAGAACCATCCATTGAATCACCCCAAAAGGAGATCGCCTTTCTTTCTTTCTTCCTTCCCTTTCTTCCTTTCTTCCTTCCCTTTCTTCCTTTCTTCCTTTCCTTCCCTTCCCCTCCTTCCCTTCTTCCCTCCTTCCTTCCTTCCTTCCTTCCTTCCTTCCTTCCTTCCTTCCTTCCTTCCTTCCTTCCTTCCTTCCTTCCTTCCTTCCCTCCCTCCCTCCCTCCCTCCCTCCCTCCCTCCCTCCCTCCCTCCCTTCCTTCCTTCCTTCCCTCCCTCCCTTCCTCTCTCTCACTCTCTCTCTCTTACATATGTTATCATTCACTTTCCACTTGGGAGTTCTTTCCATGTCAAAACAGGTAGGTCTTTAAAAAACTATGAATTTAAAAATATATCTTGACTGGGGCGCCTGGGTGGTTCACTTGGTTGAGCAGCTGCCTTTGGCTCAGGTGATGATCCCGTAGTCCCAGGATCGAGTCCCACATTGGGCTCCCTGCTCAGTGGGGAGTCTGCTTCTCCCTCTGACCCTCTACCCTCTCCTGCTCTCTCTCACTCTAATAAATATGTAAAATCTTAAAAATATATATATATCTTGACTGTTTTAATTACAAAAGTAGCACATGCTCTTTACAGAAAATTCAAACATTACAGAACTAGAACCTAGAAAGTAAAAGAAATTCTGTAACTCGACACTTTAGAAACGCCTCTAAACATGTTTAATGGCTACGTGGTATTTCACAATATGGACAATATTACAATCTAGTTAGAGAAACTTCCATTTTTTTCCTAACCCTTTGAGCGGACTTCAGACTCCCAGAAAAGCGGCTTGAGCCCGGGTTTCTGCACCCCTGTCACTGGCTGCTCCACACGTGAGCATCTCCCAGGGCCACGGAACAGAGACCAAAGCCGAGACCCAGGCCCCGCTGACCCACTGACACGAAGCAGTGGACTTTATTTGAATTTCACTTTTCCTCACAGTGCCCCTTTTTCTGCCCCAGGATCCTACCCGGGACCCCATGCTGCATGTGGCGGTCACATCTCTCTAACCTCCTCTGTGATGGAGCCTCCACCTTCCATGGTCCTTCATGACTTCCAGACTTCAGAAAGGTCCTGAGGGGCTCTGGAAAGCTCTCTTGGCCGTCTAGCTCTATCCTGTTCCATGCCGATGGGAGCTGTTTGTACTCAGGATGTCCTAGGACCTGACATCAGCCTGTCTTGCCAGCCTGCCCCAGCAGCCTCCTCCTCACCATGCACTCTTGTGACGATAATGGCCAGCACATGCGCAGAAAGCACTTTGCTCTGGGCCTGTTTCCAAACGCCTTAATTTTGCTAAATCCCCCCAACAGCCTAGGGGCCAGAACGGTGGTTGTCCCACTTTGCCCAGGAGGGAGCTGGGGTGGAGCGTGGGGACAGCCTTTATCCAGGTCAGACAGCCCTCCTGGCATTCCAGAAGCTTCTCAACCTCTCTGCTCCCCCCACCCCAACCTCCACCGGGGGGCCTGCCGTCCGTGAATTGCTCATCTGTTCTGTGCCCCAAGGCTGAGTTCAAGTACAGCGTCCTCCAGGGAAGTTCTTCCTTGTAACCCACCTCTCCTTCCTCCATGGCTCTGTTCTACCTGTGGTACTTCCTTATGGTGTCTTTACCGGGTTTTAAGCTTCATAAAGCAAATTCTGCGTTCTACTCTAGAACAAGGCTTTAGATAGAGCAGATTAGGCATGTTTATCCAATCGAATTGAATTTTAGAAAGTAGGAGTTAATGCTGAGAGGGACAGATGCCCGATGCAACTGCCCAGGTGAGGTTTTCCATCTCCTTGGGGACCCCAAACACCGTTGCTCACATTTCCTGAATATTTCATTTGGGAGGGTGAGGCACGGGGTAAGTGGTTTTGGAGGACAGGACACCGCATAGCCTGCAGGGTTGCACATATGGGGAAGTGGAGGTAGCATTCGGGGCATTGAGGGTTGGGGAGAATTATAGAAGGTGATTAAGGACAGAGTCGGAGGTTAGTAACGAGTGTGAGTATTGTCTATTTCAGACTTTCAGCAGGAAGTCTGATGATGTCAGTTGTATGTTGTTTTTTTTTTAAATATTTTTATTTATTTATTTGACAGAGAGAGAACACAAGCAGGGGGATGGGGGAGGGAGAAGCAGGCTTCCCGCCGAGTGGGGAACCCGATGCGGGGCTCAATCCCAGGACCCCGGGATCATGACCTGAGCCGAAGGCAGCCGCTTAACCGACTGAGCCACCCAGGTGCCCCCAGTTGTATGTTTTAAATGAACCAAGCCTGGGGCACCTCAGTCAGTAAAGTATCTGACTCTTGATCTCAGCTCTGGTCTTGATCTCATGGTCGTGAGTTCGAGCCCCACATTGGGCTCCACACTGGGCAAGGACCCTTCTAAACAAACAAACAAACAAACAAACAAACAGCCAAGGCTGGTTGGACCAGCCTTGCAATCCCAGGATAAACCCCGCTTGGTGTGGACATACGACTTTATATTTTGCTAGATTTCATATACTCCTATTTTGGTGAGGATTTTTGTGTTTGTCTTTATGAAAGATACTGATCCGTGGACAAGAAAATTTGCTGCCCATTCAAATAGGATGCTATCCCATAGCATATGTGATACATATCAGTATGAAAGCAATTTCATTGTACTGATAACAGCACTTTTTTTTTTTTTTTTTGGTAATAGCAAATTTTTAGATGTTATTCAGAAATTGCATTTTATTGACCTGGGGTTGAGTGGGAAGAATATGACATTTGTTGAGCTCATACAGTGGTAAGAGGTAAATGTTATTACGTCACATGTGTTACTGCATTTAATTTATAAAACAGGTGTTTCTTTTACTTTTGTTCTTATTAGGCAAGATTAAGACATGCGTGGTTTTCTCTTTGTAGGTAGAATATGCTGTCTTAAGAAATATTACAGAATTGAGAAGAATCTATAGCTTTTACAGCAGCCTAGGATGTGATCACTCTCTGGATAACACCTTTCTGATGACAAAGCTTAACTTCTGGAGGTTTCTAAAAGACTGCAAATTTCATCACCATAAAATAACTCTTGCTGATATGGACAGGATATTAAGTAGTGAGTATTCCAGGTCCTTTGTGTCTTTTAGTTTATTTATTATTTTTTTAAGATTTATTTATTTGAGAGAGGGAGAGAGCATGTGCATGAGTGGGGGGGGAGGGGCAGAAGAAGGGGAGAGGCAGACTCCCCGCTGAGCAGGGAGCCTGATGTGGGTCTCGATCCCAGGACCCCAAGATCATGACCTGAGCCAAAGTCAGATGCTTAACTGACTGAGCCACCCAGGTGCCCCAACATCCTTTGGTTTAAAGAGTAGTATAACCTCATGTCACCATGAAACCAGTCAAGAAATGGGGAGGGAGTGAGGAAGGCAAATGCTGGGACAGACATTCCAGAAATCAACACAGGTTCATCTTCTCAAGGTGCTTAAAATGTACTTGGGACAATCCCGTAAAATAATGGTAGCAGTGAAAGCTACAGCAGGCCCTGTGGGCCGAATCCAGCCCTGTCTGTTCTTATAAAGTTTTATTGGAACACAGCCATGCCCATTTTCTCATGCGCTGTCTGTGGCTATTTTTGCCCTAGACACCAGAACTGAGGGGTTGTGACAGAGACCTTGTGGCCTACAAAGCATAAAATACGTGTTGCTGGCTCTCGACAGAGAAATTGGCCTGCCCCTGATCTATCAAACCCACTAAAACTGAGATCAGAAGCCAAGAGGGCTTGGCATAGCTGGGAAAACACTTGAGGTTGTCTTGGGCTTGGGCTTGATTTCAAGTGAGAAAGTTCATGCAGTTTTGAAGGTTTTAGTTCTTTCAGCTGAATTCTGGGAAGCAGGCCTTGAAAACCTTATTATCTACTTGAAACACAAAATATTAGAACTAGTACCTATTTACCTGAAATTTAAGTGTTTGACACAGACTTAGAATCCATTTAGAATTAGAATCATCAATCAAACGAGGCTCAGACCACCTTGAAAGACATGGGCACAAGGTATCTTGTAAGTTTCTTGAAAGGTGACCAGATCGAGATCTTTCGAGCAGACTAAACCTAAACTAAAACTAAAACCTAAGTTTTAGGTGGATGTGTATACGATGTTCACAGTATTCCCTAGGAAAAAAAAGATACTCCCTCATACTCAGTTCTTTGACTTGTACACCAGGAGCAAATAAAATAGAAGGTTTTAGAAAATGCTAGGCATCAAGTATGAAATCTTGATCTGAAACTAATAATATATTATATGTTAATTAATTGAATTTAAATTAAAAAATAAGAATGAAATTGTGGTATGTTAAAAATATGGTATTATATGTGAACACCGTAAGAGGGTAAATCTTAAGAAGTCCTCATCACAAGAATAAAAGAGAAATTTTTCAAAAAAAGATTTTATTTATTTGACAGAGACACAGCGAGAGAGGGAACACAAGCAGGGGGAGTGGGAGAGGGAGAAGCAGGCTTCCCGGGGAGCAGGGAGCCTGATGCGGGGCTTGATACCAGGAACCTGGGATCATGACCTGAGCCAAGGGCAGACGCTTAATGACTGAGCCACCCAGGTGCCACTAAAAGAAATTTTTGTAGCTGTGTAGGTGAACCATGTCAATGAGACTTATTGTGGTGGTCATTTTGCAACATATAGTGAATCCTGTTTGCACACCTGAAACTAATACAACCTTATATGCCAATTATACCTCAATTTAAAAGGTTACTAGGCATCCTTTCCAATTTTCTTTATTTTAGCCGATAGTGACACTCCAGTTGAAGAAATTCATTCTCCATTTACAACAATACTTTTGAGGACATTTCTCAATTACCTCCTGCAGTTGGCTTACCACATCCATCACAAAGAATACCAGTAAGTACTACTTCCGGGGCGCTGAGAGGTGGAGGCAGAGTTCACCAGTGTTGTAGTCAAAGTGGTGACTTTTCTGCTTTCCTTCAACGGCCGTTACCACTTTACATACTTCTGAAATGAAGGACCAGAAACAAAAACATTTCCCAAGTATTAACCACAAAACCACGAGATACTGGATTAAAATTCGGAAGACCCCTCAGATGTGAGTCATGCTTCCATCCTGAATAGTGTTCTCAGAGTTGTAATCGGAAATGGTCAACACCAACCCTTCCTTAGGGCAGAATCTCCTGTCCTTCTCAGAGAAAGAGAAAAAACCTTTTTTTAAAAAAGCTTTTAATTTTGTAATAAATTTAGTTTTACAGAAGTTTTGCCATGTTAGTACAGTGATTCCTGTACACCCGTCACTCAGCTTCCCTTAACAATCTTACGCAACCGTGGTGCACTTGTCAAAGTGGAGAAATGAACGTTGGCATAATACTCTTAACGAAACCACAGACTTTATTAGGGTTTCCCAAGTTTTCCCACTGATGTCCCTTTTCTGTTCCATGTTCTTTGCGTTTTGTTGTCCCACCTCCCTAGTTCCTACAACCTGTAGTAGTTTCTCGGATTTTGTCTTTTATGACCTGGACGCTTTGGAAGACCATTGGTCACTTGTATTTTGTAAAATGTCCCTTGATTGTCGTCTGCTGATGTGTTTTCATCATTGCACTGAGGCTTGGGTTTTGGGGAAGAATACCATGGAGGCAAACTGCCCTTGGCATCCCATCCCATCGGGGGTATGTGACATTAGACTGTCTTATTACTGGTTATGCTAACCCCAATCGCTCATTTAAAGTGGTGGCAGCCAGGATTCTCTGCCGTAAACATACTGTTTCTCCCTTTCTGTGCTCTCATCGTTCGAAGAAAACTACTAAGTCCACTCCATACTCAGGGAGAGGAGAATGAGGTTCTCCATCCCGGACAGAGGGGTGACTAGATCTGTCTTGGCAGAAACAGAAGCCCATCGCTCTTTCTGTGTTTTACCAAACTGATGACTGAGAACATTCACCCAAATGCCTGCCGTGTAAAAGGTAAATACAAAACCAACAGCATTATATTTATTATTTTTTCCCCAAAATGTAGCTTTGTAATCATTTTTTGATGGTTAATCTTTCTCTAATGTCTTCAGGCAGTTTATTCAGTGGACAGCAGCGGACACTCTATTCCATGAATTACATCGACAAATGCTGGGAGATTTATACAGTTTACTGCAGACCACACACAGCCCCTCCCCACGAGCCTTCCATGAAGATGCGACACTTCCTCTGGATGTTGAAAGTAACCACTCGTGACTGAGACTGGTTTTATATTAATAAGAATTTTGACTTTTTTTTGAGAGAGAGAGCACGTGCGCATGAGTCAGGGGAGGGGCGGAGGGAGAGGGAGAGAAGGAATCTCAAACAGGCTCCTCCCTTAGCATGGAGCCCGACTCAGGGCTCAATCTCATGACCCTGAGATCATGACCTGAGCTGAAATCAAGAGACAGACACTTAACTGACTGAGCCACTCAGATGTGCTGGCATTTTGGTTTTCATTAAAGAAAGGCAGCATTCCAGCTATGATACACAAATAATGAGGTGAAGATCCGGGATGGATTTTCATAGCGGTTGAATGTTTGCTGAGCATCTTTGGGCAGAAGTGAGTAATTCCAGGATCTGTGACAGACCTGAGGCAGAGGGAGCACCGGCTCCGTGTGTTTCCCAGTGAGGGGAGGGGCATGGGCGGCCACAGTGCCTTTGCTAAGCAGACCTTGCGGTATAAGAGAAGATGGGGTTGGGAGAAGGGGGGAAGTGAATGTCATTTAAAAAAAAAGTTCATCAAAAAGTAGTTTAAAGAAGTTATTAGTTTATAAAGTAGTGAGGACATCTAATTCATACACTATTCTTGTGCTAACTATTGGCAGTTTTTGTTTTAATTTATACCTGTGGGAAGATAAATGAGAAAATGAGAAGAGCCGAATACTAATAGGGAATAGAGTGCTTTAAAAAAGTCTAACCGTGTTGTATGTGTACGGACTGTTTAGTCACCTAGTGTCTATTACAGGAAAATGCTTGTTAGAAGTGTGTGAGCTTTGGGGGAGGAGTATTGTACAGCTGTTTATTTGTTCACTTTCCCCCTTTCTTCATGGCCTCTTATTGAAGAGACGAGGTCCCCCTAAATGGGTCAGACTTCCGGTTCGGGCTGGTGGCATTCTCCCAGGTTCATTACCATGTTCTTCTTTTCTTTTTTTTTTTTTTTTAAGATTTTATTTATTTCTTAGAGACAGCGAGAGAGGGAACACAAGCAGGGGGAGTGGGAGAGGGAGAAGCAGGCTTCCTGCGGAGCAGGGAGCCCGATGCAGGGCTCTATCCCAGGACCCCGGGATCATGACCTGAGCCGAAGGCAGACGCTCAAGGACTGAGCCAGCCAGGCGCCCCACCGTGTTCTTCTTTTCCCCATATCTCTGCTAACACAGTACAGTCAGAGGCTTGTTTGGATTCCAGGTTTCTTCCCCTGACAAAGCTGCAGATGGTTCTGTGTATTTCTGTTGCATCGCCTCAGGAATGTTCCCGTTTAGAGATGTTGAGATGGACCAGCGGGTTCACGTGGAGTCAGCACGATCCTTCCATTAGAACATATGAGCCTGGTTTGCACAGCGCTCAGGAGAGAGCTGAGGGTGGGCCGGCGCGGAACCAGCCCCCATGAGGTGCACGTTCACCTAATCCTTTTTTTCAGCAGCGCTAACTTAGGGGAGACTGTGTGTCCTGGGCCGAATGCTCTCTGGTTCAGTATCTCTGAGAGCAAAACTTCTGTTTGCAGCTTTGATGCGGACCGGGTCTTCTCGGCGAGTCTTCCTGTGTTCAGCTCTCCCTGGAGGGTTACTTCCAGAGGGGCCTCCTGCCTGAGTGCCTACAGCACCCTGGCTCCCTGAGGCCCCCAGTCCAGCGTTTCCCCATCTGTGCAGTTGGGTTGATATCTCACATCTGGATCATCCACTCTCCCAACCCCTCTGTCCTGTGTTTATGTCTCTAAAGACACTTTTCTTTTTAGAGGGATGGGGGAAGGTCTAGAGAGGTAAATCTCAATGTTAATCTAGAATGCTTTTCAAATGGATCAGTTTCAAAGACATTCATTTCTAGAACATCTCCTTAAAGGGTTATACGGATATAAGTTAACATTAAAAATAGGTAGCTATTTAGGGGAGCCTGGGTGGCTCAGTCAGTTATGCATCTGCCTTTGGCTCGGGTCATGATCTCAGGGTCCTGGGATCGAGCCCTGAGTTGGGCTCCCTGCTCAGTGGGGAGCCTGTTTCTCCCTCTCCGGCTCCCCGTTTGTGCTCACGCTCTCTCAAATAAATAAAAATAAATAAATAAATAAATAAAATCTTTTTTAAAATGTAGCTATTTGTAATTATAGGCCATTATGGTTTAATTGGTTGTTCCTTTTGCAGGACTTTAAAATGATAAATAAAGAATTAACAGCAACCAAGTTTGTGGAGGTCATTGCAGAGGATAATCCTTTCATACATGACGGCGTTGACAGCAACTTCGAACCTGAGGTTTGTAAAGAGGTGTCACAAATAGTGCAGATACAAGGTAGGCTGTTTTGCCTTGGATACCGAGAGCCAAGATTTGATCGAAAAGCATTCTCACCCCAGGACGGAACTATGTGTGTGTCTGTGTGTGTGTATACACACGTGCGTGCACACCCGTGTGGGTCTCCTTGATCGTATTAGACAACTAGAGTTAATATAAAAAAGTATTCCAGGTGTCAGGAAATAACGAATGAAATCAAAAGAATATAAAACTATAGTTGACCCTTGAGCGACACAAGGGTTAGGGACACCGACACCCCCACGCAGTCAGAAATGCAGGTATAACTTTGACCCCCCCCCCCCCCGCCGTACTTCACTACTCACAGCCTCCTGTGGACTGAAAGCCTTACCGATAACATAGACAGGCAACTAACACACGTGTTGTCTTACAGACTGTGCTCTTACGATAAAGTAAGCTAGAGAAAAGAAAACATTAAGAACGTCGTAAGGAAAATACATTTACAGCACTGTCCTGTACGTATAGGAAAAAAACCTGCACATCAGTGGCCCCACGCAGTTCAAACCCGCCTTGTTCAAGGGCCAGCTGTCCGACACTATTTCTTGGATAATTGAGCGATTTAATACACGCATCTGTTTCTCTGGCTGACTTGTCCTAAGCCTGTCAGAGACACTGACTGATCTCCTCCAGTGAACGAGGCTGCGTGTCTTCCCTTTTCAGTGCGCCTTGCCGAGGGGCTCTGGGCAAGTCGGCCACCCCAGGCTCAGTCTTTTCTTCTGTACACGGAAGTGGGTCAACTAGTTGATCCCTCGGTTTTTAGTATCCGCCATACCTCCCGATTTCCCCTCCCCAGGAGTCTGCTCCCTGTCCCCGTGCATTTGGCTCTTCTGGAGAGGTCCTAAAGATGGGATCTGTGTGGCTCCCCCCGCTCGGCTAAACCCGTTTGCGCTCAGGTCACCAGTGACCCTACGATGACCCGCCCAGGGGGCCCTGCCATGGGGCCTGAAATGCCGCCTCTGCCACCTCAAACACATTCTTCCCTCCGTGTCCCTGGTCTTCCACTTCCCTCACTGCTGGTGCCTTCCGACTTGGCTGTTTCCTCCTCTCTGTCACACCCGCCCTGTCCAAGTGCCGTAGACTCAGGCCGGGGTCCCCTTCTCTAGCTGTGCTCACCCCTTGTCTCATAATCTTAAATGCCACCTTTCTGAGGACAAGGCCAGCGTTTGTATCTCTGACCCCAATCATGCTCTCCAGCTCCAGGCAGCCTAGCCAGGGTGGCCCCTCGGGTTTCGAACAGCCCAGAATGTCCCACACCCCAGACCGCAGTTGTGACCTCCATCCCCCGCCTGCGTACCTCAGCCTCCCGTGTGTGGAGTGTGGATGGCACCCCGCCCTTTGGTTGTCAGGCCCCCACCTTCAGATCTTCAGGACATCCTATTGGCTCCACCTTCAAAGTATTTTCTAGAACGTGGTGCCTCCCACCAGCTGCACTGCTTCTGTCCCGGCTGAGCCACCGTCACCTAGAAAGCTGCTCACTCATCCTCCTGATGCGTCCCTTACCCTTCTGCTTCCCAGGGCAACCGCCAGGTCACGTCACTCCCCTGCTCACACCCCCAGGCTTCCCATCCCACTCAGAGAAAAGGCCCTCATGACATGGATGGTGCCACCTGAGTCCTTGTCTGACCACTGAGTCACACCTGCCTCCACGCTGTCCCCGGAACACACCTGTCACACTCCTATCTCAGAACATTTGAACTTGCTGTGCCACCCTCTGCTATTTTTGGGGGGGCTTAAATAATAGAAATGTAAGAAGAGTAGGAATGGTGTGAGCAGAACAGCCAATAAGAAAACAAAACTCTTGTTCTAGTAACAGAACACACATAATCTTTTAAATGTAGTTTTTGTTTCAAATTGGTGTGTACCCATGATGCTTGAGCGTTGAATGAGGTGGCATTGTGTGGAGACAGAGACCAACACCCAGTTGAATCACTGGTCCACCTCAGGGTATGTCAAAATGAGTAAGAGCCTTTATACTTTATGTTTCAGCTGGTTTTCCTGGAATTCTTTGAAGCTCTCTTAAGCTTCGCACTCATCTCTGTCACTGAACAAATGATTAAAACCTATTTAAATTTGCCAAATGATGACCTGTCTGGAAACAAACATGGAAGCTCTTACATGACAAATCAGGTAAAGGTATCTTAGAATTTACGGAGCAAGAAATGGTTTCATTCTGGAACGGTTAAACTGGATCAAAACTATCTTGGGCTTTTATAACCCTTCAGGAAATAATTTAAGACTTAAGAAAAAACTTAAGACTTCTTTTCACATTTTGGAAGGGTGTATTGTCTTTAAGTTAGGTCCTTGGTCATGACCCAGGGCGTAGACTCCTAGCCACAGTAGCGGAGATATCCTAATGAAGGTCAGAGTGCCTACTAACATGTTGGGTAGACCAGGAGGCTTAGGATATCTGAGATAATTTTCTTATGAAATGTTTCATTATGCGATCTAGTGTTTACAAGAGTAGAGAACCTGTTCCAGAGTGAAGATGCTAAGAAACAGCTCCTGAGTGTACATGAGATGCTAGTTGGTTCTCTTAGGATGGGGCCAGCTCATAGGACAGGCCTGCTGGACACGAGGCTCCATCGCAAGACCTCGGTGGAGCAGGGGCAGTGTCAGCCACCCTACTGAAGGATCCGGCTGCTGGGGCAAACTGACACAAACTAGTTTTAGGTGGGGGTTTCGGGTTAAGTAGGCTTGGAGGATTTCTGATTTTCGAGCCATTCATGTGGAGCCACAGGGAGAGTCTTGGGGGCCAGTGGAACCTCACAGCTGGGAAACTCTTCAGACCTGCACATACAATGTCACTGTTTGTTGTGTAAAGATTGACTCTTCCCACAAATCCCCTGATGTGTCTCAGACTCCTTGTGTGCTGAGAGCTTCATGTTCAACTTCACCTCACAGTCCATCCCACCAACTAGATATGCCTTGTCCAGGTTGAGGATATGACTGATGGCCTCTCCAAGTCAGTCTGGGAGCCTTATCATGGGCCATGGTCTGGCGCTTTGCTCTGAGGGAAGTCGATGTCCACCTTGAATCTGTCCATGATTTCATGGATGGCATCACACGGGCTCTAATAACCGAGTGTGAACACTGGTCTAGGGGTCATCCTCAGAAACCATCTGACCACGTTCACCTCTGGTTTTTAATATATCATTCCACATGTCCAACAAGGTAAATCCTATTTGGTACATACAATGGAGTATGACTCAGCTGTGAAATAACTCATGATACAGGATACAACAAGGATGAATCAAAATAATTCTGCTGGGTGGAAGAAGTCAGACAAAAAAAAAGTGCAATTATATGAAATTCTAGAAAGCACAAAGTAATCTGTAGGGACAGAAAGCAGATCAGTGGTTGCCTGAGGATAAGGGTGGATTCCCGAGGGGCACAGGAAGCTTGGGGCTGATAGATATGTTTGCTGTCTTGACTGAGCTGATCATGTCACAGGTGTACACATGTCAAAAATCATCAAACAGTAAGTACACCTATGTGTAGCTTAACTGTAAATTATACTTCATTAAAATTGCGTGTGGGGGCGCCTGGGTGGCTCGGTCAGGTAAGTGTCTGATTTTGGTGCAGGTCATCGTCTTGGGGTCCCGGGATCGAGCCCCGAGTATCAGGCTCCATGATCAGTGGGAAGTCTGCTCCTTCTCTCTCTGCCCCTCCCCCTACTCATGCTCTTGCTCTCTCAAATATTTTTTAATTTTTGTTTTATTTTTATTTATTTATTTATTTATTTATTTATTTATTTTAAAGATTTTATTTATTTGACAGAGAGAGACAGCAAGAGAGGGAACACAAGCAGGGGGAGTAGGAGAGAGAGAAGCAGGCTTCCCGCGGAGCAGGGAGCCCGATGCGGGGCTCGATCCCAGGACCCTGGGATCATGACCTGAGCTGAAGGCAGACACTTAACGACTGAGCCACCCAGGCGCCCTAAATTTTTTGGTTTTTTTTAAAGGTTTATTTATTTAAGAGAGAGAGAGCATGAGTGGGGGGAGGGATAGAGAGAGAGGGAGAGAAGCAGACTTCCTGCTGAGCACAGAGCCTGACGTGGGGCTCAATCTCACAACCCCGAGATCATGACCTGAACTGATACCAAGAGTTGGATGCTTAACCCACTGAGCCACCCAGGTGCCCCAGTAAATAAAAAATTTTTAAAAAAATCGTGTGTGTGTTTCCATGGAAACCCCAAATCCTCTTATGTGTTTGTCCTTGCTCAGAACATCCAGAACAGGAGTTCAAGTTTAGGAACAAGCCAGGAATCAGATCTGCAGGACGGCAGCACCAAGTCATCTTCAAGCAAGCTAGGGCTCATGCTTGATCTTAGCAAAATACGGAGATCAGAGGTTCGTATTTACAACTAACCACGTAACAGTAGTTACTGGTTGCAGTATCAACGGGCTTTGCGTCCCTACTGTGTGATCCGCACGCTTCTATATGCTGGCGATCCGCAGTGAGGCAAAAAACTGTCCTCTCGTGGACTTCACATTCCAGTGAGGAGGGGGAGACACGCGAACGGCAGCGATAGCTAACACTCTTGGGGTGTTTACCAGGTGCCACGCACTTCCCAGTATGAGCTCATTTAACCCCCCAACCCACCTTCGGGTACTGTTACTGTCTTAGGGGGGAGCTGAGGCATGAAAAGTTTAGGTACCTGCCCACAGTCACGCATCTAGTAAGCAGTGGAGCTGGGGGGTCTGTGTGCAGCGGTCTGACTCCAGAGTTTGCACCCGTCCCCACACGGCTACACCTCCTCACACTTACGAGGTGCAAGCGATGTGGTGAAGAGCGAGGCAGGCTGTGCAGTGGCAGGTCTTCTGATGAAGCGACATTCGAGCACACGTGAAGTGGGGAAGCAACCATGCGGTCATCTGGAGGAAGACTGTTCTGTGCGGAGACCCTGAGGTGGGGGTGTGTTTGGGTTGTTGAAAGACAAGTGGCTCAGCAGCTGCAGCCACATCGGAGTGGCCCGAGCACAGGAACTCGGCGGGGCAGTGGGGCCAGACCAGGAGGGCACCCGGCCATGGTGAGGACCTGGCTTGCTTTCTGCGACGAGAAGGCCCCAGAGCAGAGAGGGTCAGAAGGCTCCCTGTGGCTTCCCTGTTGACAAACCGGTAAGGAAGCTCTTGGAATGACGTGCAGGTTTGTTGAAGGCTGTGGAGTTTGAGAGGGAAAGACACGACCAAGATGATTCTAAGCCTTTTGGCCTGAATGCCTGGGAGATACGGTTGTCATTTACTGTGAAGGGAAGGCTGGGGTGGGGGACGGGAGTTTGGGGGCAAAACTGGGGAGCTGCTTTTGGACACGTTAGGCTCCAGGTGGCATAGATGGAGACGCAAGCCTGGGGTTCAAGGGCGAGATCTAGTTGGAGGCAGAAATGTGGGTGTGAACAGCACATATCCGGTTAAAAATGCCGTTAATATCGGAATGTAGGTGCGGTTAACTGTATGTAGTTAAACACTTTCCCAACAGAGCCACAGAAGACTTTCAAATCTTTAGTTTCTTGGGAGGAGTGTTTTAGTGGATACAATAACTGTCCTTCATTTCCTTAATTGTACAAATAGCAATATTTTATGCAGGTTAAAATAGTCAAAGGTAGTCTCTTCCGCTTAAAGAGAATGGCCTCATTAATAATTTTCTAATTATTTATAATGTAGCAAATTGGTTTTAGTCCACAATGATGCAGAAGTCATATTTTGCTTTATGATTTTCTTTTATGTAAAAGCCCAAGATCAAGAAGTCTCTAAGTGATGAAAGAATTTCCAAAATGAACTTTAAATCTCCAGGAAAAGGGCTAACCTTTTTTTTATCCCAAAATGGTGAGTATTTTAATGATTGAACTCTAGTTTGTACACTGTTGCTTATAAATGATAGAAGGTTTATAAAAATGTACAGCTGTCTTTTAAAAATGTAATTAGGCTGGTAGTGCTATTTCCAATCCTGCCACCCGCTTGATGGAGTTCACTTTCAAGGCTTGATCCTGCTGAGGTTTTTTTGTCTTTGTTTTTGTATTTTTTCCCCAGTTTTATTGAGATGTAAGTGACTTGGAGCCCAAGTCTCAGGTATACAGCATAATGATTTGACATACATATATTGTGAAATGATCACCACAGTATGTTTTGCTAACATCCATCATCTCACAGAGATAACCAAAAAAAATTTTTTTCCTTGTGATGAGAGAACTCTTAGGATCCACTCTTCACAGTTTTCGTCTATATCATACAGCAGCATCTATAGTTGTCACGGTGTAGATTACATCCCTAGTACTTATTCATCTTACAACTGGAAATTCATACTTTTTGACCACCTTCATCCAATCCCCCCACCCCCAACCCCAGCCTCCAGTAACCACAAATCTGGTCTCTTTTTCTATGAGTTTTTTAGTGAATTTTAAAAATATATAAGATCATACAGTGTTTGTCTTTCTCCGGCTGGCTTATTTCACTTAGCGTAATGCCCTCAAGGCCCAAACATGTTATCACAAATGGCAGGGTTTCCTCCTTTTTAACAGATAAGGTTCCATTGTATATATTCCACAACTTCTTTATCCATCTATCCATTGGATACCTTAGGTTGTTTCTGTGTCTTTGCTGTTGTGGATGATGCTGTAGTGAACATGGGGGTGCAGATATCTCTTTCACAGTGTTTTTGTTTCCTTTGGATATGTTCCCAGGTGTAGAATTGCTGGGTTATATGACTCTTCTATTTTGAATTTTCTGAGGGACCTCCATACTGTTTTCAAGAGTGGCTGCACCAATTTACATTCCTTCCAACAGTGCATGAGGGCTCCCTTTCTCCACATCCTCGCCAGCATTTGTTATCCTTGTCTTTTTTTTTTTTTTTAATTTTATTTATTTATTTGACAGAGAGAGGCACAGTGAGAGAGTGAACACAAGCAGGGGGAGTGGGAGAGGGAGAAGCAGGCTTCCGGTCGAGCAGGGAGCCAGATGCGGGGCTCGATTCCAGGACCCTGAGATCATGACCTGAGCCGAAGGCAGACGCGTAACGACTGAGCCACCCAGGTGCCCCTATCCTTGTCTTTTCGATGCTCACCATTCTGACTGGTGTGAGGTGATCTCTCATTGCAGTTTGATTTGCATTTCCCTGATGATGAGTGATGTTGAGCATTTCTTTTTCATATACCCATTGGCCACTTGTATATCTTCTTTGAAAAAATGTCTATTCAGATGCTTTGCCCATTTTTTTTTTTCTATTGAGCTGTAGTGCTTTATACATTTTGGATTTAAAGCCCTTATCAGCTATATGGTTTGCAAATACTTTTTCCTATTCTACAGGTTGTCTTTTCATTTTGTTCACTTCTTTTGCTTAGTTTGACATCATCCTACTAATCTATTTCTGATTATGTTCCTTGTGCTTTAGCCAAAAAATGCTTGCTAAGACCCATGTCAAGGAGCTTTTTTTCCTGTTTTCTTCTAGCAGTTTTATAAAAGGTTTCTCATCTTACATTTAAATTTTTAAACAATTTCGAGATAATGCGAATGGTGTAAGATAGGGGTTTAGTTTCATTTTTTTATGTGTGAATGTCCAATTCTCCCAACACCACTTATTGAGGAGACTATCTTCTCTCCATTGAACACTCCTGGCTTCCTTGTCAAGTACTGACTGTACACATGGGTTTATTTCTGGGCTCTCGATTCTGTTCCATTGGTCTTTGTGTCTTTTTTTAAAAAAAATTTTTATTTATTTATTTGAGACAGAATAAGAGAGAAAGAGCACATGAGAGGGGGGAAGGTCAGAGGGAGAAGAAGCAGGCTCCCCGCCGAGCAGGGAGCCTGATGCGGGACTTGATCCCGGGACTCCAGGATCATGACCCAAGCCAAAGGCAGTCGCCCAACCGACTGAGCCACCCAGGCGCCCGGTCTTTGTGTCTCTTTTTATGCCAGTACCATGCTGTTACACTTTTTATACTGTGTAGCACAGATTCAAGTCAGGAAGTAAAATGCCTCCTGCTTAGTTCTTTCTCAGGATTGCTTTGGCTATTTGGGGTCTTTTGTAGTTCCATATAAATTTTAGAGCTTTTTCTTCTACCTGTTAAAAATGCCACTGGAATCTTATAGGGATTGCATCAAATCTATAAATGGCTCTTGGTAGTACTGACATCTTAACAATATTAAATTTTCCAATCCATGAATGTAGGTTACCTTTCCATTTATATTTGTCTTCTTCAATTTCTTTCCATCATGTCTTGAAGTCCTCTGAGTCGAGATCTTTTATTTCTTGGCTAAATTTATTCCTAAGCATTTTATTGTTTTGATGGTATTGTAAATGGGATCATTTTCTTTAATTCTTTTCCTGATAATTCATTGTTAGTGTATAGAAACCCTATTGATTTTTGTATGCTAATTTTATATCTTGCAACTTTCCTGGATTCATTGATTAGACCTATCAGTTTTTTGGTGGAGTATTCAGGAATTCCTACATATAAAATCATGTCATCTGCAAATAGAGACAATTTTACCTCTTCTTTTCCAATTATGATATTTTTAATTTCTTTTTCTTGCCTAATTGCTCTAGCTAGGACCTTCCAGTACAATACTGAATAAAAGTGGTGAGAGTGGATCCTTCTCTTGTTCCTGATCTGAGAGGAAGATTTTTCAGTCTTTCACTATTGAGTGTGATGTTAACTGAGGGCTTGTAATATATAGCTTTTATTTTTTTTTTAAAGATTTTATTTATTTGAGAGACAGAGCACAAGCAGGGGGAGGGGCAGAGTGAGAGTGAGAGTGAGAAGCAGACTCCCTGCCAAGTGGGGAGCCTGATGCGGGGCTCAATCCCAGGACCCTGAGATCATGACCTGAGCTGAAGTCAGACACCAACAGAGTGACCCAGGCACCCCATATATAGCCTTTATTATGTTGAGGTACATTCCTTCTGTACCTAATTTGTTAAGGGTTTTTTTTTTAATCATGAATGGATATTGAATTTTGTCAAATGCTTTTTCTGTGTTTACAGAGATGATCATATAGTTTTTGCTTTCATTCTATTAATGTATCACATTGATTTGCATATGTTGAACCATCCTTGTATCCCAGGGATAAATCCCAGTTGAACTTGGTGAATGATCCCTTTAATATGTTGATTTTGGTGTATTAGTACTTTATTGAATATTTTTGCTCCTATATTCAAAAGGGATACTGGCCTGTAGTTTTCTTTTCTGGTAGTGTCCTTTTCTGGCTTTGGCATCAGCGTAATGCTGACCTCGTAAAATGAATTTGGGGGTTTCCCTCCTCTTCAGTTTTGGGAAGAGTTAGAGAAGGATTTGCATTAATTTTTCAAATGTTTGATAAAGTTCAACAGTGAAACTATCTGGTCTTGGGCTTTTCTCTGCTGGGAGATTTTTGGTTACTAATTCAACCTTACTAGTAATTGGTCTGTTCAGATTTTCTATTTCTTCTTGGTTCAGTCTTGGTAGGTTGTACGTTCCTAAGAATTTCTCCATTTTTTCTAGGTTATCCAGTTTGTTGGTGTTTTATTGTTCCTAGTAGCCTCTTATGACCTTTATATTTCTGTGGTATTAATCATGTTTGTTTTCATTTATAATGTTGTTGATTTGGTTTTTTTCCTTGGTTAGTCTAGCTAAAGGTATCAATATTTTTTTCAAAGGGTCTTAGTTTTGTTAATATTTTCTATTTTCCTGTTCTCTATTTTGTGTATTTCTGCTCTAATCTTTATTTCCATCCTTCTGCAACTTTTGGATCTAGTTTCTTTTTCTAGTTCCCTAAGGCAGAGTTAAGTTAGTTTATTTGAATTCTTTGTTTCTTAATGTAGATGTCTATTGCTATGAACTTCTTAGAACCACTTTTGCTGCAACCTGTAAGCTTTGGTATATTGTGTTTCGATTTTCATTTGTATCAAGATACTTTTATTTTTTTATTATGTTCAATTAGCCAACATATAGTACGTCATTAGTTTTTGATGTACTGTTCAACGATTCATTAGTTGCATATAACACCCAGTGCTCATCACAACACGTGCCCTCCTTAATGCCCATCACCCAGTTACCCTGTCCCCTCACCCCCCCTTCTGTAACCCTCAGTTTGTTTCTTGATACTTTTAAACTTCCCCCTTTAATCTTTGATCCGTTGGTTGTTCAGGAGAGTGTTAATTTCCACGTGTTTGTGAATTTTCCAGTTTTCCTCCTGTTACTGATTTCTAGTTTTATACCATTGTGGTCAGAGAAGATACTATCAGATTTCAATCTTGAATTTGCTAAGACTTGCTTTGTAGTCTAACACATGGTCTATGCTAGAAAATGTTCCACGTGTGCTTGAGAAGAATGGTCAGAATGTTCTGTATATGTCTGTTAGGTCCCTTTGTTCTATAGCATTGATCAAATCTGTTTCCTTAATGATTATCTGTCTGGATGACCTATCCATTGTTGAGAGTGGGGTATTAAAGTCTCCAACTGTTACTATATTGCTTATTTCTCCTTTTTGCTCTGTTTTTGCTTTATTTATTTAGGTACCCTGAAGTTGGCTACATAAATATAAAGGTATCTTCTTGATGGACTGACTTCTTTATCATTATATAATGATCTTGTCTCTTTTTACCATTTTTAGTTTAAAGTCTGTGCTGTCTGGGGATGCCTGGGTGGCTCAGTCAGTTAAGCGTCTGCCTTCGGCTCAGGTCATGATCTCAGGGTCCTGGGATTGAGTCCCAAATCAGGCTCCTTGCTCAGTGGGGAGTCTGCTTCTCCCTCTCACTCTGCCCTTCCCCCACCCACTCACTCTCTCAAATAAAATCTTAAAAAAAAAAATAAAGTATGTGTTGTCTGATATTAGTTACCCCTGCCTTTTTT